ATTGAAGGAACTAGTGGTAAACTAAAACCTGATAAGGCGTTGATATATCCAATCAAATTGCATCATATTAGAATTCCTTACGCAAAACTGTTAAGTGGTATAGAAAACTTATTATAGAATTGATTTGCGCAACATCAATTGTCAATGCATGGTATATTTATGAGAGGTGGGGTACCAAGCATTTTAAGAGAGAGAATATTATTGATCGGCTCCTGGAGGAAACGTCTACAGAACCACAAACATCTAAAAGAAAAAGTACACATTTTCTTGAGAAATATTCCAGAAATGCGAAAAAATTGCGGAAACGATGTCGTGAATGTTATAAATTCTTATCTGCTGTAGAAATATTGCTGCAAATATCGAAAAGGGTTACAACGTTTTGCCGATTCTGTGAAGGTTAACCACCACTATGGCTAAAATGTTTTTAAAAAACAAATAAATATGTAAATACATTAAGTGTATTATAGTCTACCTGGTAAAAATAAGCTTTTCAATTTTTCAATAAAAAGTTATTTGTAACCACATGAAGTTTTTTTCATCTAACAAAAGTTTGTTACGAAAGTATAGCAGATGTGAGCCCACTTTGCCTGATGAACCATTCGTGTGTGAGCCACCAGTGGTACACGCCACCAGATAAACCATTCGTGTGTGAGCCACCGGTGGTATACGCCACCCTTAACGAGGAATTCAGCATAAAATTCCTCACATCAGCATATAATTTCGTACAATATTTCTCATGTTAATCAAATTGCACTCACTGTACACTGGTGGACACAATTGCTAAAGATGGATCACCAATGGTTACACAGCGTCTAAAAGAGTAAGTGTAGTTGCATGCCAAGTGAAATAAAATAATTCCAGAAGATTATGACATAACAACACAGATAATTGATTGTGGTCTGAAATTCAGAAGTGTTGAAGGGACAAAATGGTTATTTTGGGTTGAATACATAATGGGATTCATATCCCATTACGTGAACGTGCTATCTATATGAGGTGTGGAATATCCTTGCTCTCTGGACAGCAACTGTTCGATGACATGTTCCATTGTAGTTCATGAAAACAAATTTATCACTGGCAGCACCATGGAACATCATAAATGTATCATTGGCCAGTCATGTCCCAGTTGGAAGCACACAAAGCAACAGATGGCCGTTGATCATAATCTCAGACCATACCATGACAGTACAAGGATATTGGCCCCTTTCTTATATGTTTGCCGGACTATATGCAGTAACACTCTCATGCCACATCAGTTGTCGTCCACAATCAGATTGAGAGACTGAACCTACTATCATCCGAGAATAGTGCTCAAGCCCAGTCATCTTCTCTCCAATTGCAATGCTGACGACACCACTGGAAATGGTCAGAATGCTCACGTCTAGTCCTTCTTGGTGGCATAGAAATCATGCCTGCTATGATACCCCTCCACTCTCTGATACGCTATGCCCACCATTCCAGAAGTAACACTTCTTAACTGCTTGCAGTAGTCACGCTGAGGCTCATATTCAGTTGGAACTCAACTCCAGAACTTCTGCATTTGAGAGTATCTTAATTTTAAGCCCCAAATAAGGTATGCACCAGCAGTTATATTAATTATTTAACCATTTGCCCTATATTTATTTTTTGTTTAATATCATTTATTCTATCTTTCTAGACGTCCTCTAAGAGTCTGATACTTCTAATGTTCGAAATTTAAGTTCCGAGCTACACTCCAATTTAAAATTCAGAAGAAAATTAATAATTTTTCCCTTCAATAAATATACATAAAACTTAAGGATGTAAAAACTGTTTTTGGAAAAGGCTTCCCCATAAATCTTTTATGAAAAGAAGAAAGACTGATCCAGAAGTATTCTGTGTTGGAAATGTACTAACACCTTAGAAAGCTCACCCAAACAGTACAGTTTTTCAGAAATTCTTTCTTGACATCATATAACTTCTCCAAAATGATATATGGACTTTTAAAATTTCAAGAGGGAAGCAACTCTCATTAGTTAACACCTCTGAAAGTATCCATGGCCCGACCACTGTTAAATACCACTACCTTTTCCATTAGCAATATATTTATTGGCATCCTAATTATTGTTTGCAAACCATTCTAACAGAGATGAAAGTGAATTTTTCAAACAAAGGAATACAAGTGAGCATTTATCACATACTGCGCATGTCATGGCACACACCAGTTTGGAGCGTTTACATGGATTTTTTTTTTTTTTTAACTATTTCATATTTAGTTCACCTCATTAGTACTTTTCTCACATTTATTTCGGATGTGAAATTTAAAGAGAACATTTCTTCAATTTCTTAGAAATGTAGAATTCAAAAATAATGTAATAGCAGCAGGTTTTAAGTTAATGTTACGTATAGTTGTTGCAATTTATGTTTTAAGAATATTATATTGCATTGCAAATCACACAGAAAACTACTGTTAAAATATGCATTCAAGGTCATAACAGATAACAGCCATAATGCGTATTCCTCACCTAATTTCAGATTCAAGTCATCCTTACTTGTACACTGCATTAAAAAAAAAAAAAAAAAGAAAGAAAAAAAAAAGGGGGGGGTCAGTTCTCTATATCTCCTGTTCTTAGGGGCCGATTGACAACATTCAAATTGCGTTTTTCATGTCTCGAAAGCGCGACTTAGGATATATATTAGATTCATATATAGCATTGTTCTAACATAGGTATTTTGACAAAAAATGGGACTTTTCTGAAATAACATACCAATTTTTTCCATATTTCGATTCTATGGCTCAAATTATAGCTAAATATTAAATTTCGTAAAATTTGATGTGAAATTTATGAAAAAATTAAAAAATTTAAATTGGCACATTTTTTTCCAGTTTGCACCAAAAATAATTCACTTGGGGAACTTCTTAATACACGGCAACCTATTTTCCTTTCCCTTCCATTGTGAAGGAGTGGGGGGGGGAAAAGTCACAGCATTCCTAGCTTTTTACATTGTGCACGAGTGGAAAAAAGTCATATCGTTTCTGCTTTCAAATAATTTTAGCAAAGTGCCTAAACCACATTTGATGTTATTATCATTTGCAACAAATATGCCAATATATAAATTCACGTATAGCTTCAGAAATTTTGAATAAAAAACTGAATTTTTTGCAGGTATGCTTAGAAATACATCTACTTCAAGATGATGGTAAAAATGTCATATATTATAATTCAAAATTTTTTTTCGAAAAATTTATAAAATAAATCATAAAAATAGGAAAATTTTATTTGGAATTAACCTAAATTTTGAAATATCAAAGGAAGAATCAAATAAGTTTAATAACAAAAAGAGAGATTAATAAATATATATCCAAATCAATTAACATTGAGAAGCTAAAATTTAAAGAGCTAAATTTTAAAAACTACTTGTGCGATTTTCACAAAACTTTATTTGTTTGCCGTAATTTGAGCCATAGAATCGAAATATGGAAACAAATTTGGAGAAAGAAATTCCAGAAAAAGTCCAACTTTGTGTCAAAATACCTATATTAGAACAATGTTATATATATATAAATATAATACATATCCTAAGTTGCACTTTTGAGGCATGATAAATGCAAGTTGAATTTCATTAATCAGACCAGTAGAATGGGAGATATAGAACTGTCCCTTGTTTTCCGCAGGGTACATGCGAGCCAACGTCAGATTCTTTTTGCATGCTTATACATCTATCAGTCATATGGCAAAATTGCCACTTCCCTTCTGGTATATGGTGAAGTTGAAAGCTGGATTGTGGATTAAGATAACCTATGTTTCAAATTGAAATACTAAGAATTCTAGGAAGATAATTTATTTCATTTCTGTCTTTAGAAATAGAATATTAAACTTATAATTAATATAATTTTTAAAAGTAGTTAAATATTCCTTTCTAATTTAATACATTCCCTGAAAAATTAGTGAACCAGTCAAATAACTTTAATTTATAATTTCAAATAATTTTTTGTAACTACTGCTATAAAAAACACTTAAAGCATGTACTATAATCTTAAATTTTTATTTAAAATGAATACAAAATATCAAGTATATTATGTGCTGCAAATCCTGGATATTGATCAATAATATCAGTTTCTTTTGAAAATCAATTCTAAATTTTTTCAACATTACAGATTAAGTTTTATTGTTTGGTAACAGGAGATATGCTTTATTAAGAAGAAAATGTAAATTACCCCTACAATTTTGTTATAGTTTTAAGAAATCTGAATGATAATGCATTAGATTGTTGTAATCTATATTTCAGAATTGCTAGTTTTTAACTTCTTTTTCTTACATTTTAATTTAAAAATTCTTGCTGTCAAAGTAATTTTAATATAAAATCTCAGTTCTCCAAATTATTATTATTATTTTCACTTTGATTTTCCACTTTCTACAATATACATGCAAATATTCCAATATAATCCAGTGAACAAAATTTTGGATTACCTTTTACCTTTGAAAAATCAGTTGATATTGATGTCATAAAATTATTTTCAGCTGCCAAAATAATTTAACATTCCACTACAGAACTAAAACAAACTAATTTTTTGATACAACTGAATTTTTCTGATTTATTTTGAATGAGATTCATATGCCAAAAATAAATAAAATTTTTTAATTCATTAGATATCTAAAGAAAACTTACAAATACTCTGAGTACTAAAAATAATCAGCAGATTGATTTTTTTTTTTTTTCCCAGCAATGTAAGAGACTTCAGCTATTACCCTATATATGCAGTTAAAAAGAAGTTCAAAACAGCCAAAGAAACCAAACACAACTGGCTATTTATTCAATTTCATTAGAAATTATTTTTTACTGAAGATGGAAAGACCTACTTCAAATCAAGCATTCACATTAGTTGACCTATATTTTCATGCCAATACTTACTTATTAAAATTCTGATTTAAATTTTATTTTCAATTAATTTTTCTAAATTCTAAATATTTATACAATTTTAACATTACATTTTGATAACTTCCATAACCACATTTATTTTAAAAAGAAAGAAACTTAAATCAATAATCAAATAAAATGTCTTTAATTAAACAGATGCTATGAATAAATATAAATATTTTCTTTTCAAGTATTGCTAAAATGAATTATTTTATTTACAAAATGAAATGCTTTAATCAATTATTATACAACAGCTTCACTTCAGTAAATGAATTTCATCTGCTCATGTTTGTGCACTTTGAAAGATGCTATAGTATCCAAAGCATCAATCAATTTTGACAGCACCATAGATCTTCCTTATGAAGAAATACGCAGCATAAAATCCAATTGTTCCAGTCAAAATCCAAAATGTGAGTACCATCAAACCAGTGTAACCAAAATACAAAAGTGTAGGAATGAACTCTGTGATTTCCAGCTAAAAATAAAATAGTACTATATCAGAATAATCCAAGAAGCATAAGAACGAAATTTCGCTTATTTGTCAAACTCAGAATTGACATCACTAGAAAAAAAGATGAATTACAGAAATGCTTACAACCATTACCAGATATAAGCACTCAAAATAGTATTGCACTTTGAGCATAGCAAGGACAAAAACCAAAATCAGAATTGAAAACTTGTCACATTACACCTTATTAGTTTGCTTAAAACTCCACAGAATAAACATACAATATAGTTGCCCATCTTTAACTATGAAGAACAGGAAGGTTTCTAAATTGCACGGAGATGCAATTTTAAAAGGACTTCAAATTGGCAAATTTGACTTAAATTATCTTACAAAGCATCATTTAAATTATCAAACTAATTATAACTGAATCAGTGATAAAACATTTTAACTAAATATTTATGATAAAATTTTTCATATACCATCTTCAAGGAACACAAATTCAATTTAAAACCATGCATGAAAAAAAAAAAAAAAAAAAAAAAAAAAAAAAAAGAATTTAAATTAGTATTTAAAATAGTAATTTCAACTTCTTGTTTAAAAATTGGCAAAGAAAAATCTTAAATCGCAAAAATGCCAAAACCAAAAGTAAATTCTAAATATTTGAAAAGTAGTTATTTCCATTTATCACAGATTAATCGACTTATCAAGGGGATAAACCAATCTACCATCAATTAACAACTAAATTAAGAGAGTGTTTCATCTTACTTCTACGTAAGCATTAAATTATTTCCTAGATTCAAACCATAAGTCAAAATTAATACTCAATCCAAATAAAGACATTAGTTCATCAATGGCAATAACTACTTTTTGAATAGTTAGAATTTACTTTTGGTTTTGATATTTTTGTGATTTAAGATTTTTCTTTGCCGATTTTTAAACAAGAAGTTGAAATTACTATTTTAAATTCTGACTAATTTTTTTAAACTTATTTTAAATTGAATTTGTGTTCTTTGGAGATGGTATATAAAAAAAATTTTCTTATTACAAATTATTATGAATTGTTAGTTTAATACTTTGCAGCTTTAGTGCAAGTCATAGGTTTTTTTAAAATTACTTTAGTTTGAATTAACTTAATATTTAATGTATTATCCTAAAATTATTTTTTTTTGACTTTCTAGAAGGAAATAAATATTTAATTTCATATTTCCACCCCCCGATGAAAATCCAAGTAAGAAAGAAAAGCTTTTATTTATCAAAATGCTTTTAAATATGATGTGCACACAATCCTGAAGAGGAGATTTTTGACATTTAGTGATTAGTAATACCACTAAAACTATTCTGAAAGACATAGTAGCTCAGGTAAAATGAATGTCATTAGATTTGGAAGTTTACTGAGATAGTTGGCAGCTCTCATAAACTATTCAAAATAAATCCAAAAAACTCCAGCCACAACATGATGAATATCAAACATCTTTAACATAACCCACACCACAACTTCAGTTCAAACTCTCTTACTGTTAAACATGGAGAGAATTTTCTGTTGAAGTTTCATAAACTAAATGGTAAATTAAACTGGGGAACAAACTGTAACACAATTTCTGTTGAATCCAATTTTTGAGCTTTTTTAGATTTAAAGAGGTATGCTGATTTCAAAACTGTAGTTAGTTTTCTTTTACCACTTGAAGTTTTCCCTCCACACCTTACATGAATGTGACCACTCTTCTCAGCATCCAGCATGGATCACAGCAAGTACTACTGCACTCCTACTGGCTGACATAAACCAATTTGCACCAGGTGAATGATGATATAAGAGACCAGCAACAGGTGCATACCTGTCTAGAATAGTTCTGTCATGCCTGACCCTGTAGCATTTCCAAATAATAAGTCTTTTACCGCTTACATATAACCAAATTATTGCCCTGAAGTATCATGTCAAGTTCTTTCTGACATTCCAAAGAATTAATTAAAACTTCCCATTTGTTTTGCTGCTGCTTTTTTTTGGGGGGGGGAGGGTATAACATTGCTCTAATATAGTGACATGCAATCCAACATAGATTAAGAGTTTGTATCGAGGGTTAGCAGTGTTTAGTTTTTATTTGTATATGAAATGAATACTTTCCTTATGTCTGCCTCTGCTAGTTTGTGTTGTAAGTGTTTAAACAGCTCCAATTTGTTTTGTTATATGTGTGGTAGTTTTACCATTTGCAGCAAAGGACAAACATCAGCACATTTGTCAGGCAAGCCTATTTTAAAGTGCAAACTCATGATCAAGAAAAATCATGGGCCCCTCACAAAAGTCAGCAAGCAATTTGTCGAGAGTTTATGGGTTTATGGATACGGATGGGCAAGAGCTCAAAGATCACTCAAGTAATTCTTATTTTTGTATAGTAAAAATGTCAGGATATAACAAGGGAAAAAAAGTAAAATGGAGTATCCTAGCTTACCATCAGGCTATATGCCCGATGCCTCACTCAGCTGAACTCCCAATGCCAGTTTTCAAAGAACTACCTTCTTCTGAAATACAGGAATGCGTTTCTGGTGAATAATTCTGGTGGGGTGAATTGACCCCAATGAAGAGTTTGAAAGCAAAGATGATTCCACTCATAAGGGATTTGACCAGCATGAGCTGAATGATCTGGCATGAGATTTAGAACTATCCAAAAAAGCTTGAGAGCTGTTAGCATCAAAAGTGCACAGGAAAAACTTGCTTGAAAAATATGCTACGATATTCTAATTTCAATCAAGAGAAAGTGCATTTCTGCAATACTTTCGAAGTGATGATGGACTTGTGCATTGCCATAATGTACGTGGTTAAATGGAAGAGTTTGACATTGAATCGCAATTGTACGTTTTATTTAATTATTACTCATGATCATCACCAGTTCAACATGAGGCTAATCTGGTTCTTATAAATCACAACGAAATGCTAAAAGTTAGGTTAGATTTTAGGTGAATTTAATTTGTGTGAGGTGTCTTCTTAAAAGGCACCTTAACACTTGAAAACACAAATATAATTATAATAGGAGTTGTTTTCTCCACTGAAGATTGAGATTAGAACCTCCCCAATCTGGAATAAAATAAGGCTTTTTTTGCAGACATTCTGCAGCGGAATGAAAGAAAGAAATCTATTTAATGCTATTTTTTTACTAAATTGAGGTATTTTATATTTATTTCACAGCATACATAAGGAAAAAATATGTGCATTAAATTTCATGATGTCATCATACTGCTAGAATTAATTTCAGGATTATGCCAGAGAAAATTTCCTGAAATTTGGAAATATTATTTACTAATGATAAATACATTTAGAGGGAAGAAGCAACATTAAATGATATGAATAGCATAAAAATAAAGATAATTACTTAAAAATTGAATTAGAATAATCAACGATATTTTAGCGAATATAGTTATATTACATGGTTAGCCTAGATGACTGATTACTATTTTTTTATTTTACTGCAAAATGACAAGGTATTTATTTAAAAGAAAAGAAAAAAAAAAAAAAAAAAAAAAAAAAAAAAAAAAGGTTTTGAGGTAAAACCCTAGTATACGGTACGGCCTTCGCACGATTTTGAAAATTATCGCCAAGAACAAAATGACTCGTTTACTGCTCATCATCATGTCGCCAAATCCCGTTGTACCATACAAGGAGATTATTCTAACCAAAGAACGTCTATGTAAAGAAGAAAAGGTTCCATACACGTAAATGCTATTACGCGGCTAGAAAGCGGAGGGAAAATTTGCCAAGGGATTTGGCGACGGAACCTGGCGGCCAGAATTTCCCTCTCCGCGATGTGTACAGGAAATTGAGAAACACGTGTTAAGAAGAAACGTTCTTTGGCAAAAAAGAAAACTACGAAAATCAGTTTTTAAATTATTGCGAAAAATCCAAGAAGAAGCGTTTTATTAAAGAACGTTTTTTCTTGGATTTTTCGCAATAATTTTAAAAACGGATTTTTGGTAGTTTTTTCCCCCCCCTCAAAATAACTAATCCATGAATTAATTTACTTGCGCCAAAAAATATTTTCTTTTCCTTTAAAGAAATTTTAAAAGATATTCATTTTATGAACTCTTGATATTGTGACCTTCGAAATTCGACACCGGTTTCGAGCTTTGGCGACAGATATATCGCACATGCACAGCTGTTTCCCTCTATGATGGAACGGAGCCATGTCTGTTGCAGAGAGGTTTTCTTTCTTTACAATACATATTTTTTGATTCTAACCTTCATGGTACTGTACACTAGGATTAAACCCATTTTGTTTTATACGAGAACAGGTACTTTCTTTAGTTCATGCACTGCACATGCGATTCTCGAGGTTACTGGAAACCAAAAGTTTCGGGAAACTTGATTTGCCTTTCTAAAAGACAATCAAATTGGAGCTGCAAAAATTGGCTCTATGCCAGCTGCCCGAATGACACTCACTTGATACACAATTCACCAAAAAAGTGATCTCTTCCGACGTCGGCACAAAACTCGCCTTTTTTGGCGGGATCATTGTATGAAATTCCCTGACTTTCCCCTGAATTTTTTGGTCAATTTCCGAATTCTCGGACTTTTTCTGGTTTTCCACGTAGCGTGGCAACCCTGGTATTTCCACCAAGATTTGGTCATGGAGGCACGATGCCAAGGTAGATAGGATGTACATATGATGGCTGACTATTGTTGGAGTATCAAGTGAGTATATTCATAGATCACACATTCCAGAAAAAGTCCATAAGCAAAAACTTTTACCTTAATATGTATGTGTCCTATTTCTTTAAAAAAATTTACCATTTGTGTAAACAAAATTGAACTTGCAGTAACTTCATATAGCCTTTGTATAAATAAAACTAATTCTTCCCTTTTATTTTCCTTTATATGCATACTCTGTACGACTTTTGAGACGAGGGTATCTTGTAGCTTAAAAAGTTGACTGATACATAAAAACTGAGGTTATTTTTAGATTCAGAGGCCAGAAGTTAGTCAGAAAACAAATGACAGATCTAAGAGAATGAAGCTGCTGTTCCCCAGTGTTATTCATAAGAAACAAAATAATACATTATTACCAAACTTGCATGATAACTTTTATAGGGAATTTGCTTCTGCTTATTTTCATTTTGCAAGGCAACACTGAATTTTTTAAACAAAATTTTAACCTTTTATTAAAAATAAAAATCCAATTTTATTTACAAATATGTGCATTGAATTACGAATTCTTTCTTGCATTCCTATTTTTTTAAAATCTTTTTGAGGGAGTATTCATTCTGTCAATTAAACTGTCTTAAGCTGTTAACAGCTAATAGAAACTTATGGTTAAAAGTCACGAGTAAATGAGTTTTCACAGTATAACTACACTATTAGTCATCCGAAGAACTGCAGCATAAATGCACAAATTACCTTTGTAAGAAAATAGAAAACAGAGTATGCAAAAACATATACAGCAGATCCGCCAGACACTATTACAGACCTCCACCACCAATGATAATCCTGCAACAGAAATAAATCACTTAACTAATAACTATAATTTTTAACTTTCTTTCATACCACAAAAAAAAAAAAAAAAAGATTTTCAGTTTTTTAGTATTAAAAAAAATAATAATAATACATAAAAATTAATTTGAATTTTTGATAAAAAGTAAATACATATTTTTTAAAGAAAATGTAAATGATGAATAAGTGCATATTTCCATAATAAATATCATCCTCAATTTAGTTATAATGAAAAAAGAAATAGAAATATTGCAAAAACCGTTGTACAAAATATTGAAATATAAGAAAATTGAAAAGGATTTACATTTACTAGCGTATCTCCTCCAGGGAGTTGATATACTGAGAAATACAAAATAAGCCTGCTTCTGAGCAAACAGAAATGCGTAATTAAACTTAATATTTAAATTAAATCAAAAACAAACTCTGTATCCCCCAGCAGGTCAGAAATGAAAAATAAAAGTGAAGCAGACAGAAATATATGACGAACTTTTTTTTTTTTTTTTAAAATTCACAATATAAGTTAAAAAAACATTTTAGAAATAATTTTGAAACATGCAGCAAAATACAATAGGGAAAATTGTTTATACAGTAATTTTTTACTATAGAACCCAGTAATAAAAAACAATGTCCCATAATGAGAAATATTTTATTTAAAAAATGCCCCTACTGCATCTTTCTGCACATTTCAAAATTTTTTCTAAAAATCTTTTAAATTTAATTAAAAAAGTATTTTATCCTTCACATTTTTATTCACTTTACTTTCATTTCCTGCCTCTTTGGGTTGTGCTGGTGGATGCAGTTCGTTCCCGATTTAATTTATACATTGAGGTTAATTATACAACTATTAGCTCAAAAACAAGCTTATTCTTCTGCATTTCTTACTGCACCAACCCCCAGAAGACGATATGGTGGGAAATGTAAATCCTTTTCTATTCCCTCGTATTTGATAATTTTTCCAGTTACTTTATACAAGTACAGAATGAAGAAAGTCAGACACCTGTGCATTCGTGTAGGCATATAGGTATCACCAGTCCTTGCTACCTGCAAAGTTTCTGCCCCAACTGAAAATCTGAGGAAGAACATACCAGAGGTTTTAGGGTCTCCCACCCAACTTCCTGTATCATCAATCTCTTGAGAGGGTTTCAGCTTGCTGTGTATTTTGAGTGCCCTCTTGATGCTCAATTATACATGCTTTTTCTGGGATTTAAACTCAGGCCCTTCAGCAGTCAGCCTCACTAACTACTATCCCGTTTTCAATATTTGTTACTTTTCTCATTTTTACCAAATTGAGTTTAACTTTTGAATCTTCTTTAAATTTAATTATTGCCATCAATTTACTACATTTTTATATAGAGCACACAATATTTTTATTATTATACAGCAGTTTAATTAGTAAAATTATACTCCTTATTTACATTCAAATTTAACTCACATAAAAAAGTGCTTTTGTTTCAGTATCATTTACTTAATTCCTTTTCATTAATTTTATTTATTTTAATATGATGTCTTAAAATGTAAGAATGTAAATACAAACCTCCCCACAGAGTTGAAAGTACACCATAACAATAGATATCTGGGAGCATGATATAACAAGAATTATAAAGACCAGAAACAGGAAACCAAACAAGTAGTAAAACTGATTTTCCCAAATTGCCTGTAAAATGAAATATGTAACAAAATAACCTTAAATAAATCACATTTTATAAGCAGCTCATATAGCAAAAAATTAATAAACTTTTGTTTGGCATAATAAATATTTGATTCCAGATTTTATACAATCAGATAACATACCGTAAAAATGAAGAATAGCTCAATAAACATAGCACCAAATGGAAGTATTCCGGCCATGAGTGTACTGAAACAAATATTATTAAAAATTAGCAAAATTTCAACAGTTCTTGAAGAAGTTCTTGAATGTTTTCAACAGTTCATTGAAGGAAACTCATCAAGAATCCAAAATTTAATACTTTATAAAACAATTAAAACCTTAGCAATCATAAAGCAAAACAAATAACTCAAAGCACAAAGACTGTGGTTATGAAAAAGTAACTTTATTTTTCATCTACGATAAGCATGAATTAAATGAAGAATAATGAAAAGCATAATAAAGATAACTTATATTTTCTGCAAATTTCTCTTGGATAAACTTAGAACTTGCAAGCAAGAGCCTGAAAAAATATTTTCATCCTTACTGCTATATTCTTAGTCTTGGACATAAAATTCACCGCTCTTAAACTTTTGAAACCACTCACGACAACTTCTATCACTTAAGGCAGCCTCATCATGTACTTCTACAAGCAATCAATGTGCCTCAGCTGCAGACTTTTTCAAATTAAAGAAGTAAAGTATTTTGGCATGAAAAAATATATGATACTGATACAAAAGTGCTAATATTTCAAGATTATGTTGTTAGCAGATGTCCAGCCTTAGGATATGACATTTCACATCAGAGAATTTCAACCATAACTTACCGGGGGGGGGAGGGGTTCTATTTTTTGTCAAACGACAGAGACTTATTTATAATAAAAATAATAGTCATATACTAAGTATATAAATGTTGATGTATAAACATACATAATAGCAAAAGAAAAATATTTTATCCAATGGTACACCACAATTTAATAACCAGTACTAGACAGCTATATTGTATCTTTGTGTTGAGAAATCAGCAACTTCATTTTAAACTGATCCAATTTAAATAATTCTTTCCTTTTCTTATTTCTCTGATTTTGTGGAAATTCCTCTTCAGATTTTTATGCTCCAACTCTTACAGCTCTTTTTTTTTTTTTTTTTTTTAATTTTGACATGCCATGAACTACTATGATTATATTATGTGTGTTCATTATTAGAATAAACTATTCCAAAAAATAAAGCTGGTGTTTAGATATACAGAAATTAGCCCTGGAATTTGCTAGCTATACACTAATAAATATACTCCAAAATGCCAACAGAACTGGGTCACCAGTTCTTTTGTGAATAATTGTATAAACATAAGGTATACAATTGTGTTTATGTGAATGTGAAGAATTGTATAAACATAAGGTATGGAATTCATGAGTATGCAAAAGCATTATATAAGTATTGAAAACTATACTTCCTACAGAATGCCCCATAATTTATTTGTACAGTACAAAGTCTGTAATCCAGACGTCCATTATCCGGAATGATCTACAATCCGGACCTCAAAGCCACAAACTTTTTTTGTCTATGCTTTTGCGCATGTGCGTAATGCGTTTATGCATGCGCGTTTAACACAAAAAACGAAGCAGCTTAAACAACTTAAATTGAAAGAAATGTTCAATAAAGTCAGCAAATAAATATTAAGCTTTTTTTTTTTTTTTGTAAGTTTTGATACCCTTTAGATCATAATTGCTCTTTATTTCATAAATTACGGTTTCATATTTTTAATTGTATAATTGCTGCATGCCATCTTACCAGATTTAAATTGATGATCTATAATACGGAAAAACCCTTAATCCGGAATCGCCGAAGTCCCGACGAGTCCGGATTATGGACTTTGTACTGTATTAGGAGTTGAAGAATTTCAAAGTTCCATAGCACAAAGCATTGCATATCTTCGTATATTGAATATAACCAAGATTTGTTGATACGTGGCTATAGCAGGACTGGAACTCAGGCAAGTGCTTCTCTAATCATGATGTGACACTTCTAGACTTAAAATGGATTTGCACTGTTCCTGTTGGAAAAAGCCAAACCCATCAAAATGAATGTGCAGGGCACGAACAGGTGGAATTCCTTCAGAGAGGATGATCGTGTAGCATTCACCTTTCAGAGGAATGTAAACAGTCCAAAAGCTCCTCTATGCCAACCAAAGAAACTCCATATTACAGCAGACATATCACAACTTGCAAACTCTTCCCTTGACGTGTAGGACAGTTGTTTTACTCTATTTTTCTGCACACAAATCCTTTCATATATTCTATGATATTTAAATGCTCAATTTTGTTTTAATACTAACATTTCACTGAAGAAAAATGTATACTCACCAAAGAACTGGATTCATATACCAGACTTGCTCTGGAACCTGACGAGGAATTTGGTTTGTGCGCACAGGATGTTCATAAGGATGTTTTCTAATCCCAAAATAATAACCAATGAACACTAATGGCAAAGAAATACCAAACCACATACATAGTAGAGCTAACATTGTCGTAAAAGGAACCTGAAATAATTTTGCATTACTTTTATGCTCCTCACAGTGTCAAAGAAAAATACATATTTTTCAAGACAATATAAAATTATGCCATATAGAAACAAAATCACAAATTCAAGACATTAAAACTTTAGATTTTAATAAAAACTAAAGTCAATACAAACTGCTCCAGATGACTGTTTTCCCCAAATAAAGAAATTCAAGAAGAAGCATGTTCCAAACACCACACCCGGGTAAAGAGTAGCAGTCTATGTAGAAAACCAAAAATCTTCACGTAAGTTTATAAATACAATAAAAATTTCTAGTGATAGAAAACCAGTAATTTTCAAAACATCATGAGACATACAGAATAAAAACTGATTCAACATTAAATTTATGGAAGACTAGATTTTTATTTCCTTTATGGTACTTGCATATTATCCAAACAAACATGAAAGTTGGTTACCATTGAACCATGAATATTGGCACAGATCTAGCCACAAGCATGCAATTGTTCCTGAGTTATTCTGAAGAAATCAATGCCTATTTATTTAATAAACAATTAATACTTGATCTGTGTTTTTACAATTAGTAAAAAACCTTTTGTTGCTTTCTACTATTTTGTTAGGTCCTCCGATTTCACTAGAAGCTCTGTTTAGAGTGTTGTAAGCACAAACTTTTCACAAGTCGCCTATCTGTTACTGTTCTGTTGGCCATATTCAGCTGACCACAATATATCCATTACTACACTTTTTTTTTTTTTTTTTTTTTTTTTTTTATGTTAGGATCCCATAACTTTGAAAACTTTGTTCTGTAGTAAGTAGGCCCCATATTTTAATAATTTTTTCCCAAAATGCAAGGAAAAATACAACAGTAATAGTTAATTTACATTCTCCATAAAAACAAAAGATGGCTTATTGAGAACCATCTGGAATAATTACAAATGAAACCACAGGTGTAATGAACATATCGTTAAATCACACTTATTCATAACCGATGCAAAATTGCAGCTGCTCTGCAAAAGTTGCACATTGATGGCATAATATGTTATTTACTTGGTTATGGTAAAGCATTTGAGGGTTATCTGTCTAAATGACAGATGCATTCATAGAGGACTTTCAAAATGAAAAGGCACTTATTTACATTTACCCTCTGAGAGGCTCAGGTTTTTAGATCTGTCACGAATATCTGTATTTAAAGAGCCTTTATTAGCTAAATTTGTATATTTACTTACTTATTTTAGTCTGTTTCATAAAGTTAGATTTATTAAGATAACATTTTCATTATTAAAGAAAGTAAAAAAGCAAAATAGCATAAATTATAAGCCAATGTATACCAAGTGACAAAAAGTCACATGACTGGATTATCCGGTTATGGCATTCAGAGGGTTAAACGAGGGAAAATCTATGAAAATGACCACACATTTAAGCCCACTTGTTGAGATTTAAATTTGGTTCGAATAACCAGCCCTAGCCACTCAGCTAGTGGTAGGCAAAGAACTGAAAGATATATATATGGTGAAGCTGTAACTATAATTACATACAGCTGCATTTTTTTACACAAGCTAATATTTTCTAGATACAATCTACCAGATAGATCTAATATTTTCTACATAAAATGTAAATAATACAGAGGTGATGCAACTCAGACTTGCCATAGAAATTGGCAATAAAAATATTTTTTGTTTGAAAAATATTAAAATCTGCATTAATAAATACAGTCAAAAGTCGTTAATTCGGACACCCATAATCCGGAATGATCTATAATCCGGACCTCAAAGCTAAAATCTTTGTGCGCATGCGCCGCATTGACGCATGCTCGTAGGCGTTTTACGCGTTCGCGCAAATGTGTCTGCGCAAGTGCAGAATACGTTTTCGCATCGGACGGCATAAGCTAAAATTATCTAATTATCTATTTCAGTTAATGTTGATGATTGCGTTGTTCCTTAATCTTCGAATTGGATCCGGCTTATTATTTTTTGCAGACTGTAAGAGCAATTTTATAAAAGTAAGCTTGAACTTTCGATTATGTCAAATAGAATTTCCGATGCTGGAGCTTCCAAAGGATCTAGAAAACGAAAGTATGTTTCGATGTCCATCAAACAAAAAACGAATTGCTACAAAAAATGGATAAAGGTATATCCTTTGTTTATCTAACCGTTCCGAAATCTGTTTATCAATTTCACGCTGCTCTGCATCGGGGGGGGGGGGGCCGTCGCGGCGCGCAATGAACTGGAAGTTGATCTGTCACCACTATTGTTATCTTCAGGGCAGATGTTTTTATTTTATTCGGCTTATAATTCCTTATTAAATGTAGTATTTAATCTCGATGTACTCCGTCTTTGATATGATTTAAATCAAATTCCTCATCATTATAAATATCACGAATACAAATCAAATAGTTTTCTGGTTGCAATTTTCTAATTTCGGCTATGCGTAAGGTACGCATGCGCGCGTTGAAAGAAATGTTTAATAAAGTAAACAAATAAATATTAAGCTTTTTTTTGTAAATTTTGATACCCTTTAGATCATAATTGCTCATTATTTTATAAATTATGGTTTCATATTTTTAATTTTATAATTTCTGCATGCCATCTTGCCAGATTGACTTATGATCTATAATCCGGAAAAATCGATAATCCGGAATCGCCGAAGTCCCAACGAGTCCGGATTAAAGACTTTTGACTGTACCACATATTTGTGAATATAAGCAGATCTGAGAATAAGTTGAAAAGTAGTTATTTCACAGCAAAAATTCGGCCCATACTTAAAACCTATCTGTAAGCAAATTTAAAATCACCCTTTAATTCCAGCTACATATTGCTAAATGCTCAAATAAATGACTGCCTAATTTAGTTAGACATATAAGACAGCTAAACATGAAAGACTAGTCATAATTCATTCAAAAAGACAGGGCAGAAATGATAATCTGATAAATATGTTCAAAAAATGTTGCACCAAAATAATGCTATGAATGGAGCTAACAATGATGTTAATGGTAAAATGCAGTATGATGCCATTCATTCGGAGTTATCTACAGTAGTGATAGATTTCTGACAACTGCTAAAAAAAAAATTCCATAACCAGATACTGATATTGAGAATTTTATCATTCATTTATGAATCAGAGTTCATTTATGCACATTAAACAAAATAAAAATACTGTGCTCCAATTTTTCATAAAACATTTTATGGGCGGGGATAAGAAGTTAAAGTTTTAATGATTTAAAAAAAAAAAAAGTTAACTTAGTTTTACTACTTAAAAAAGAAGGGAACAAAATTTCTGAACATTTTGTAAACATTTGGCTGCATCAGTAAAAATACCACATGCTAATTAAAGTCTTTAAGTTTACCGAAATAGTTAATATAAATGTTTTCAATAAAGTGCAAAATTCAGACTGGTCAGGTCTTTGATGATTCCAAATTTCAGAATTTTCTGGATTTTAAACCATCCAGAAAGTAACAAACTTAAGTGAAATGACTAGTAGAAATCATAAAATTAAAAATATGAAATAGTTGTCTACGAAATGATGAAACATTTATGATCCTAATTGAATCAAAATTTACAAAAAGAAGCTTATATATTTGTTTGCTTTATGAAACATTTTTCATAAAGCAATTTTAAATTCTAAATTCCAGAATTTTCTGGATTTTAAACCATCCAGAAAGCAATGAACTTGAGCAAAATGACTTGTAGAAAATATAAAACATGAAATAGTTGTTTATGAAACGATGAAATATTTATGAATCAAAATTTACAAAAAAAAAAAAAAAAAAAAAAAAGCTTATATATTTGTTTGCTTTATGAAAAATTTCTTTCAATGTATATTGTTTAAGGTGCTTCACATAACTTCTAGTTCAGTTACCAAGTTCCACTGTTCAAGTCACATAATTGCCAAGAGCTAGAAATTCCCCCAAAATTGTCAATTGATATTTTGTTGTTCTCAGGAACCTCTTAAGTTACTTTCTGAGTAACTCATGACACTCTTCCTAAATATCATGAGACTAGCAACTTAAGACATGTTCTGCTAAATTTTGTCCTGCTTCTATTGCATGCTGCAGAAGTTATGGCTGAATTACATTAATTTAGTTATTATTATAATTACATCTATCTTTCAAACTTGCTTAATGTTTCTCTAAGCCCTGAATAAATTAATTTTCACATATACTTCATCTGGTTTATCTTCATGCTCATCTGGTTTTTTTGGTTTGGTTTTTGTTTTATGTGATTACGGCAAAGCCTCGAGGGCTATCTGTCTAAGGGAAGGGATGTCTTAGTGCAGGACATTCTAAGGGAAACTCGCTCATACACACGTTGGGCATGGGGAAAACCACGAAAATGGCCATGCAGCCAGCCCATTCGCAGGATTCAAACCTCGAACCGAACTACCATTGTCTAGTGACTTCACCGCTTGGCCGCTGGTGGGTTAAGGCTCATCTGAAGAACAAATTAATTATTCTTCTTTAACTGTTTGAGTACCAGGGTTATTGAAAAAATGCTTTCGAAGAATCCCAAACAGTGCATTCCACGCTCTCTAAATGAGTACAAAAAGACCCAAGCAGTGCCACAGCACTTGTTTTATTTAATGTCCAGAAATACCAAGTGGCACAATAGTGTTTTTTTTTTTTTATTTTACATCGATGTGCACTAAGTTTAAATCAAGTGCACTGTCAGTTGTCCACAATGTTCAAAATGTACTGGGTTTTCTCGATATAAAATCTCAACAGCACGATCGCATTTCTTGGGACTCAAACAGTTAAACTTCACTAAAAGTAATCTTTTGGCTTATGTATGTCAGTATATCCTTTACAAAGTTTTTTTTTTTTTTTTTTTTTTTTTTTTTAACATGGAAAGAAATTTTTGTTAAATTTTGCCTTATCAGCGAATTCAACACTGCAGCACAGTTGGCTGATACCTGCAGTTGTTGCCAAGCATAATGTTGACATTCTTTGTGGCAAACACTTTGATAAATTACTACTTAAAAAAATATTTTAGACATCGCTGCATGTCATTTCTCAAGCTGGCATAAGTTGACAGGTTGTGGTGATGAAAGCAAAAAGTAATAAAAAAAATACTGCCAGGTTAGCATCTGGGATCAAAGTTATGCAGAAAGAGTAAGATGAGCAATGAACTTTGGCAAAATATATCGGTTAGAGATGTATGCCAAGCAAAAAGCAGCTGTGGAGACCAAATTATTGAGTACATAGATTTAAGCTAATAAAGACTGTTTCTTCAACATGAAGCCATGTTATTTAGTGCTAAACTGAAGCATCAGGACTGTTCATATATTTATTATGAAAAAATATCTACTCTGCATCAGTGAAGTATTAAGCATATATAAAAGTGAGACGCTACATTTGGAATTTAATTCTTTCCTGTTTCATCAAAAATATACTGGTGGTTCGGATATTAGCTCAATCCGGATACTAGATATACCTGTTAATTTACACAAAACATTTAAAATTTGAATGTCATGATAGCACACTTTGAGAATATTACTTAATGGTTTCATTCACACGAGAAAAAATAAAACTTAAAAATTTATGAATTTCATTACTAAGAAGTGTAAGTAATGAAATTCATAAATTTTGGAAAGACTGGATCATTGTTACAAGGGTTATCAGATTTCTTTCCCATCATAGGATTTTCACACATAGAATCAGAAAAAGGAACATCAGCTGGTCAACCAACAAACTTTAACTGCATTTCTCACATCTCCAAAGCTACTTACATATATGATCTATAAGTAGTATTACTTCAATATGAATTCTGGAGAAAATCTTTTTCTAAAATGTTATGACAACTTTTTTCCTTAGTTTGATTCTATGCCTCAAATTATGCATAATTACCAAATTTTATAAAAATCACACAAGCCATTTCTGAGTTATTTACATTTAAAACTTGGTATAATTTTCAACCTGGCACTAAAAAATTTTTACTTCACAAACTTTTAATTTATATTAACACAAACCTTTTTCCCCCTATCTCTTCATTGAATGACCGGCAACGTGTTAAAATCTTTCAGAGCTTTAAAACTTGTGTTATATTTCTCTATATTAGACATAACAATTTTATAATATTCAAAGAAATAATTTATTGAATAAAGAATGGGTGTGTACTTTATCCATTTCTCTGTGCCTTCAAAGCAAAGAATACTTTAAAATATATTACTATAAGGATTATCATAAAATTATAAGTCAAATGTAAAATTAGTATCTTGAAGCATATATTTTCACTCAGGTATATATATTGTATCAAACATTGTTAACAGCTCTGCCACCAACTTTCATTTCATATATATATATATATATATCAACTTTACTTTACTTTGAATTCGATTTCATAATGACAATTTCCAATGTTTAATTTTTACAAATAATATAGAACTCAAATGCATAAACATGAAGGTGTCGGGGACGGCTACTCGGGTTATTTCGGATTTCTCTACAGAAATTGCTTTTTACTCCAAATTGAATTGACTAAAATGCTTAATAAGAATAAGTTCTTTGAGTATCAGCATTGGTTCATAATCCCTTCTATTCGCGGAAATATTTGACCTGACTAGAATTGCCGGTTTGGCTTTAACTTATAACTCAAGTAAAGACGAAACACCTTCGTATTTACGTATTTTTATCAATTATTGTTCACTGAACGGGAGTTGGTTTGTTCCCCTTGAAAAGTCAACTAATTTCCGATCAATGACAATGATTACATATTTTTAATTTTTACTTTTACAATTGAAATTTTATTCTTCATGATGATTTAACTCCAGTCCCCGTTAAAACATTATTAACATTTTGCTTTCAAATTACTTCAAAACATCTTTCAAAATATAACTTACCAGTATGGATTCACTCTTTTAAAATAATTTTACTTTAATTAAACTTAGGAGATAATATAATCAATTAATCAATATTGTTTAGGAAATAAATTATTATTAACTAACTTTGCAGCAATTGCGCAAGTAGTAGTAACTTGTTTTCGCACTAAATGAATTTAAGATCATACAACATTATATATACATATACAAGGTTAAACTTATGAAATGGTGAGACTGTCATCCTGAAAAAGTGCAGCAAAAAACCTAGTTTAATGGGGGAAGGGGAATATCATGATACATTAAAGCCTTTAGTCAGTTAAAGATAAAGTATTAAAATAATAAATGCATTATTGTTGATTCTATGAAAAAAAGGCTGACTTTTCAACTTCATACTCTCATTTTAGCACTTGATTAGTCTTTGTCTGCAGCCTAATCAACAATATTCTTTTTAAGAATTTTTCTTGCCAATTTGCATCTACAAATAGTGCATTTTGGCATCTTTAACAAATCAACTTAAAAGCTGCAATCCTTACAACAGTAACAACCACTGATTCTTCTAGAAGTTTGCGTATCAAATGGCTAATATCAAGCAAATGGCAGCCATTTTTGTAATTAGGAGTTAGCTAAATATTTAGTACCGTATATACCCGCGTATAAGTCGACCCCCCCACTTCGACATAAAAAATTCGTAGAAAATAAGAAACCCGCGTATAAGTCGACCAACCACTTCCGAAATGGATCGAGAAACTTCGAATTTTTTTTTTTTTTTTTTTTTTTTTTTTTTTTAAGTACTACGTTTATTCAAAATGATCTGAGAAAAAAAAAAAAAAAAAAAAAAAAAAAAAAAAAAAAATTCGAAGTTTCTCGATCCATTTCGGAAGTGGTTGGTCGACTTATACGCGGTTTTTAAGTACTACGTTTATTCAAAATGATCTGAGAAAAAAAAAAAAAAAAAAAAAAAGTAAATATACGATAAAAAATACCTTGGTAAATAAACAAAATCAAAACCCTTCTTCTAGAATTTGTTCCGGAAAAGATTCGCGTACGTAAAATCTATCTGCATTTCCCCTATAAAAGTTAAAAGAAATATTCAAAACTGTTCAGTTATTGCGTGGGCTATTTTTTTAAATTCTGACGTGTACGCCTGTTAACAAAAGTATTTCATGAATGAACAAAAACTATTATAAAAACGTATACGTACGTTTTATCGAAACTTACTCTAGCTAAAGTATGAAACTCTGTGATTAGTTCGTCACATAATTTAAGTCATGAAATTACTTCAAGTAAGTGACTTATTTGATAAGTCGTCCAATTTGAGTGCGGGAAGAAAACAACTGCATTATATAAAGATATTTTTGAACTTCCGATTCTTTTAATTTTTTATGGCCCCGCGTATAAGTCGACCCCCCCCCCACTTTGAAGTCTTTTTTTTTTGTCCAAAATATCTCGACTTATACGCGGGTATATACGGTAATTATTTGAAACTATTGGTCTTTTTTTATCTTATACTTTTTATAAGATGAAATTTTATTTTATTGTAAATACACTTTTTCAGTTCATATATTTTTAGGTATTTTTAATTTATTGCAAATAATATTTCAAAATAAACTCAGGTGCTTTTATATTTTTACAGATATTTTCTTAGGGATCAGAATTGTGCCAGGACATTTTTTTAGTCTACTTGAGACTTGAATAAAAATTTTATTTCGCTGTTCTGTTAACTGAATTTCACTCAAGAGGTCTGGGAAGAAGAAAGACTACACAAATTTCTTTTATTGTTGAAGACTGTATTTAAAAAAAAAAAAAAAAAAAAAAAAAAAAAGGCTTATATGCTTTTTCGAGGTCAGCTTTTTTTTTGAGGAATCGGCAATAAATAATTTATTTTTACTTATCTTTAACTGACCAAGGTCTTCAATGCATTACTACAGATTTCATCTCTAATTTCACTGGATGATAATATCACCATTTCATATGGATGATAATATGATAATATCTTAGCTGCATTAGCCCTAGATTTTGGTTCTGAAAATTTAGTTTTATATAATTTTTATATTAAGTGCTACTTTAAAGTATACAAGGTTAATATATATATATATATTAGGTAAAAAATACGAAACTGAAAATTACTAACTTTAATTTGACTACAGCTATTTCCTAGAATTTAACCTGCATAATGTCATCTTATCCTTCTGCATTGCAGACAGCATCACCCATTCACATTGCTCAGAATTTAAACAAACAAGTTTACAAAAAGAGTGCTTTTACTATTATGCAGACCATTTTTTCTTTACTCCGCTAGCTGTTGCTTTGAAATGCAAACATGTTGTATTGCTGCTCTGCTTTGTCTGAGAACGCAAGTTCTCAAAATTCTGCAGGTGCATATCGTAACCCTGAAGACATGTGAACAAATTAAATTATGAAATAAAACTGTGTATGAATCAATGCCATTTCTAAAACTTTTCTTCACTTTTATGTCCTCTTTCATATCTACATAGCTTTATCGTTTTATATGTACATATTAGTTGCCTATGATCTTGTCTTGACTCGAACTGGATTTTGATAAAACATGCATAAAATGCAAATAAATGTGCCTGTTTACGTTCCAGTGTGAAATTATTATTGCAGCTCATAGCTAAATCAGTTCTGAATGTATTTTACCCACCTCTTCAATATTTACAAGTGCCGCCCCCCCAAAAAAAATCAATCGTTGTTCTTCCCAGAGTTTAAACAATTAATCATGTAAAGCATTTGCAGAATGAAAGTAATTTTCTGATACACTCAAAAGTGCTCTGAAGGTTACCAAAATGCGTATTTGCTTTCTCTCACTCTCATGCGAATAAATTAGTCGGTTTGTTTTTCACCAGTACAGGTTGGATTGGTTTAGTTCATTCTGGCTAGGGTACTACCAAACTAGGGATATCTGGCTAAGAGAAGGGATGCCTTCGCAGAGGACTTTCTGACAGCACCTAGCTCATATACACATTACACAAGGGGAAAACCATGAAAACACCCATGCAGCCAGCCCACATGCCCAGAATTGAACCCAGTTCGGAACTACCAGTTTGGAACCTGCAGAATTAAAAATTAAGCTTGAAGTGTCTGCTAGAAAATTATTTTTCCTTCTGCTTTTCATAATTGCATTTACATAACAAACGGACATCTTTCTTACTAATTAAAAAAACATAGCATAAAAGTATAATTTCATAGTACAGTACAAAGTCCGAAATCCAGATTTGTCGGGACTTTGGCGATTCCCGATTTGGGATTTTTCCGGCTATTAGATCATCAGTTTAAATTCTAGTAAGATGGCATAATATAAAAATAAAAATGTGAAATCGTGATTTATGAAATAATGAAGTATTTATAATCTAAAGGGTATCAAAATTTACACCAAAAAAGCTTAATATTTATTTGTTTAACTTATTAAACATTTCTTTCAATGCAAGTTGTTTAAGTTGCTTCATTTTTTGTGCTAATACTTTCTCTTTAATTCTGTAGACAGACATAATCTTTTGTTCAGTTACACTGTTGAAGTCCTGTAACTGCTGTGTCGAGAATTCCTACTAAATTGTCACTCAAAATTTCTTCGTTTTCAGTAACTTCTCTGTCACTTTCTTCACTATTCATGGCAGTATGTTCTGGATCTAGAACCATACTACAGGTTTCGCCATTCATTAACTGACTGATGATTGAAAAGCACTGTCATCACAATGAAACACTTCTTTTATATCATCTTCATTTATTATCGCTTCTCCACATTTCTTTACAAAATCTGTTGTTTGGAAAGTTTGACCTATTTTTTGCAATATCCGAAAACCTTTAAAATTCATGGCTATCACATCAAATTTAGCTATCGTTCATTATACATATTTGGCTACGCATCATGAGCTTGGTGACTAACGACAAGTTGTTCCGTTAAATTTTATCTTGCTTCTATCACGCACTGAGACAATTAAGCATGAATTGTATTAGTTTAGTTATTTGTTATACAGTCAAAAGTCGTTAATCCGGACTCGTCGGGACTTTGGCGATTCCGGATTATCGATTTTTCCGGATTATAGATCATCAGTTTAAATCTGGTAAGATGGCATGCAGAAATTATAAAATTAAAAACATGAAACCGTAATTTATGAAATAAAGAACAATTATGATCTAAAGGGTATAAAAATTTACAAAAAAAAAAAAAAAAAAAAAAAAAAAAAAAAAAAGCCTTATTATTTATCTGTTTACTTTATTAAACATTTCTTTCAATGTAAGTTGTTTAAGTTGCTTCGTTTTCTGTGATAATACTTTCTCTTTAATTCTATAAAAAGACATAATTTCTTGTTCAGTTACAAAGTTCCGCTGTTCAAGTCTGTGTAATTGCTGTGTCCGAGAATACCAACTTACTTGTCAATCGAAATTTTTTCGTTTTCAATAACCTCTCTGGTCACTTTCTTCACTATCGGAAGCGAATTATAATGACGAGGAACTTGATTTAAATCATATCAAAGACGGAGTACATCGAGATGAAATACTACAATTAATAAGGAATTATAAGCCAAATAAAATAAAAACATCTGCCCTGAAGATAAGGATAGTGCTGACAGATCAACTTCCAATCCGCGGCGTGAAATTTATAAACAGATTTCGGATTTCAAAACATACTTTCGCTTTGTAGATACAAATTACATATTAGTAAATATATATCGGAAATTCTATTTGACATAATCGAAAGTTCAAGCTTACTTTTACGAAAATTGCTCTAACAGTCTGCAAAAAATAATAAGCCGGATCCAATTCGAAGATTAAGGAACAACGTAACTGAACATTAACTGAATTAGATATTTTTTTATTAACTGAATTAGATTATTAATAATTATTTATTTATTATAATTCAACATTAACATTAGATAATTTTAGCTCAGCTTATTTATACCTCCGTTACACATTAAATGCGCATGCGCACAAATATATTCGCAGCCGTAAAGGTCTTACGCGCTCTCATAAACGCCTGTGCGCATGCGTGAGATCATTCCAGATTATGGGTGTCCGAATTAACGACTTTTGACTGTACTTATGTCTATTTCTTGCCCATGCTTAAGGCTTATCACAGTTCTGAATAAATAAATTCCCACATATACTTAAGCCTTATTGAGGTCTGGTGCTAGATATCTTACCGCCTGATGCAGTCTCTGTGGGTCCTAAATTCTCAACCCGGTGTGGCCATATGAGCCCTGGTGCTGGTTTTGGGTATATGTGAATAACAAATCAGTTATTCTTAATTCAAACAGTCCTAAATGTAATGTTTGGGTCTATGAGTATCATCAACAAAATCTATTTTTAGAATATGGAAAGAAATTTTTGTTAAATTTTTTCTTGTCAGCTTTTTTTTTTTTTTTTTTTTGGCGCATTTAACTTAAATCTGTAATAATCATGAAGCGTAATGTCAACACAAAAAGTTACCATACTGCTTTATTATTCAATTACTAACATGAAAAAATTGTTTAGGCATCGCTACATGAGTCATAACTCAAGTTGTCATGTGTTGATAAACATACGATGATGAAAGGAAAGTATAATAAATGATGATTCACCTGGTAAACATCAGATAAACGATGTATCCATGTGAAATGTTTCGGTTTGAGATGTGTGCCAAGCAGATCTGCAGCAACAGAGCCAAATTACTGATCATACAAATTTATGCTAAAATGATTTTTTCTTCAATAACAAGATATTTTATTTAGTGTCGAAGTAGAATTCAGAATTGGGACTCTCCAGATGTTTTATTATGCACGGAGAGGGGAATCAAATGTGCACGTGTAAAGTCTACGAGAAAAATGTTGGTGGTATTTTTGAGGTCCGGATTTTAGATCATTCCACATATTGGACATACGGATTTCGGACTTTGTACTGTATTAAAAATCTGAATTCTAATAATTTGTTACAGTAAAATAAGTAAAGAATTTTAAATTTTTAAAAATTATTTTTTATGTTGAAAATTTTAAATTATCGATAAGAATTTATAATGATAGGGGTATTTGACAAAAAATAGGACGATCAGAACATTATGGTTAAAACTGTCTGATGTGTAAGGTTGAATTCCTTCTAACAACATAACCTTGAAATATTAGTGATTTCATATCAGCATCATATATTTTTCATGCAAAAATGATGAGTTTTGACCTGAATGAGCAACATTTGTCAGAACTTTTGATTTACTTTTTAATTTGAAGAAATCTGCACCTGAGGTGCATCGACTGCTAGTAGAAGCATATGGTGAAGCTGCCTTAAATGAGAGAAGTTGTCATGTCATGAGCGGTTTCAAAAGTTTAATAACTGTGAATTTGATGTCGAAGACAAAAAAACGAAGCGGAAGGATGAAAGTGTCTAAAGATACAGAATAAGAAGCATTATTGAATGAAGATTCATGCCAAATGCAGGTAGAAGTTGCATTGGTGATGAAAAAAAGATGCATTAAACCCAAAGAAGAAGAAATCAGGGGGCCCAGATGGCTATGCTTCAACATCGAGAAACAAGCTGAATATTCATAGAAAAACAATGATGCTGTGTGTAGGGCTGGATCAACTTGGTGATGTGAATTATGATTTGCTCAAACAGAATGAAAGCATTACTGAAGCACTCTACCAAACATACTTGATGAAACTGAGCCAAGCACTCGAAGAAAAATGCACCCACTACTACTCCAGACTCGACAAAATTTTCTCCTGCATGATAACGCTCATGCACATGTTGCAGTGCCAGTCAAAACCTACTTGGAAACAATCAAATAAGAAATTGCCCCCCTTCTGCTGTATCCACCAAAAATGATTCCTTCTGATTACTGCTTGTTTCAATTGATGACACATGGCCTGTCAGAGCAGCACTTGATATCATATGAAGATGCCAAAAATTGGGTTGACTTGCAGAGATAGCCTTGAATGATGATTAGTTCTTCCAATGCAGTATCTATATACTGTGTTGTAAGATTTGGAGGAAAAAGTAGTATTTAGCAGTGGACAATACTTTGAATGAAACACAATGTTCTTTCACAATAATTGCCCAATTTCTGGTAAATAAACGGCAGAGACTTGTACTTCTGATATTTCGAGAATGATTTGAATATGAAAAATGAATGATATAATTTTGAAAAATTGATATAGAAAAACACAATAAAATTTTGCTTTTGTGTGTTAATATAAAAATATAATGATTGTAATACTGAATAATGTAATTAATTAACTGTATGTGTAGAAAACTGAGTGTTAAATTTATGCACGCATATTGTTGTCGGTATAACTTCATGTGTTTAATGTTTGCTATTCTGAGTCTGGCAACTGAAAAGAGTATTCTAATGTTTTGAATTTAATGAAAAGTACCTTCATATTTGTAGTTAGATGTTTTAAAATATAAACGTCAAAATTATTAATGTTACAAAGAATAAAAAGAGTGTTGTGTTAATACTTTATACATTGAGTTTTTGAGTGTTAGGAATATCAATTTATAGCTGAGATTTGAAATCAGTATCTGACAGCATACAAAGATAGAATATATTAAGAGAAACTTTGAAGAATCCGAACTTATGAAAAAACATTAATTTTTTCATATGGTGGGATTCTTCAAAGTAAAAAAAAAAGAAAGAAAAACATTAATTTTTTCATACCTATTTATAATTTTTAATATTTTTTGTCAATAAATAATGGAGTGAAGTTAAATTTTTTTTTTTAATGTAATGGAATGTTTAGTATAGTTCAAAAAGGTCAGTTGCCTTTATAGAAGAAATGGAGGCTTTCATAAGTAACTGCCAAGCACTGCTTTAACCTCTGGTTAAGAAAATTAGAAATGTAATAATAATAACCACAATTTCAGTTATAATAATGTCAACATGCAAGTATGATTCATTAATTATAAAATTTTAGAAGATTTATATTTGTGATATGTGAAAAGTTCAAAAGGCTTCCCTTAACAAATATGGCTATGAAGATCCTAAACCTTAATTTAGACAAACTACTCTCAAAGCTCACCTTCTTTTTACCTGAAATTTTTTCTTAAAATTATTATTGTAGGGTAATATAAAATTTTATTTACTACATTCACAAGACCTAATTTGAATTTACCAGCTATTAGTCTTAATTTGAATGTGAATTTTTGCATATTTATGCTTTTATTTCAATTATGCATTAGGAGAAATGTAAGGCCATACATCAAAATTAATAACTGATCTGTTTATACAATGTTAAAAGCCAATTACCTTGCATAAGGAACAGAAGTTTTTCATTGCTATTGTATTTAAGCATCACACAGCTATTAGATTTGGTTTGTAAGGACCTGCCCATTTTAATCAAAGTTATTCTTTTGTATTTTGTTAATTTTCTGTGTTACTACTGTCTAAATATCATTTTACATTGCTTTACAATAACAAAATGTTTTGGTTTATATTGAATACAATAGCTTCCCCAAAAAGATTGTACGAGGACTGTTAACATTACATTATGATATTAAAGCAAAGATTTTCAAGAACAGTTAACTTTTCTAAATATTTCTTGAAAACTTTAAAACTGGACTGAAAATTTCAATCAAACTCTAAAATTTGCAGTTGTAGGTAAAAAATTTTACATGTAAAATTTAGATCAAAATTTTATTTTATTTTTTCAAAATTATATTTCCCTTGTTACGTTAATGTTCTAATGCTTTCTTCTAAAACACTTTTCTATCACCAATGCTTTTTTCTTTGAAAGGGGCAAAAAAATATTAAACTCAAAATTACTAACTTTAATTTGGCTACATTCCCTTCCTGAAATCTAAACTGAGTCATTATCTGCAAATTAATCTTGATAATATCATTTTATCCTTCCAAATCATGGATGGCTCTTCTCAAATTGCAGAGCTCAAAATTTAAGGAAAAGAACCTAGTTTACAAAAACCACCTGTTACTATTGTGCAGCCCCTTTTCCCTCTACTCCGCTTGCTGCTGCTTATATGTGTCGCATTGCTGCTTTGTTTCCACTGTCCGAGAATATAAACTTTCAAAATTTTGTAGGAGCATATTGCACCCATGATGATATGTGAATCTATTAAATTAAAAATAAATGCTGCTTCTTTCACAGTTTTTCCCTCCATTGTGCCATCTGATGTATCTATGCTATTCTCAAGTCATCTCTAAAAAATTATTACATATATATTAAACTTGTAGACAAAAACGAAATTGAGAACAAAGAACATTTTAAAGTCTGTTAACAAAGATTATCATACTTTCACTCATGAACTCGCACGTACAAATCTGAAAATGCATCAGAGAATTAGAACATGGCAAAATATAAACTCACATAGAGTGCAGCTTTTTTCCATTGCATTCCCCTTAAGGTTTTATATAGTCTAGCTGAAAAATAGCCAGAAACACACCTGAAAAAATATGATACAAATTCATGAAAAAGGAGCAAGAACATATGTTTATGCAATTTAAGGTAGACATTACATCTCTCACCTAGTAAACAAGAATCACATATTTAACTCGGATATCCCTCTAAAGCAAGGATTCGTAATCCTTTCCTTGCATCAACCCCCTTTAAATGAATGGTTTTCTTCATCGATCCCCCTTACACTTTTCTCTATAATACATTGCCTGACACAGAGAATGCAACACCATGAAAGAATGGGTAGAATGTGATGCGAACTGATACACAGACAGAACATGCATATTAAATAAGACATGTTATTTATAGACAGATAAATTTATACACTGCTGAAATATAACAGTAAGACGTACGACTACCTTTCGCAGGAATGCAAGCTGCAACCCTGTGAAGTGCAGATTCAATTCGTGTGCAGATAGTGTCATCAGTGATGGAGGCCAATATGCTCTGAACCCTCCTCCAAAGTTTATCCTACAATAATGGCTGATGCAGAGCAGACAAATGATGACCAATCTTGTCTCAGATATGCTCCGTTGGCAAAAGATCATGGAACATCACAGGCCAAGGAAGCAATGGGACTTGCTGCAAGGCTAGTTGGCCAACGAATGCAGTGTGAAGTGTCACATCCTGCTGAAAAATACCAGTTGACAGCTGCTGAAGAGGTAGCACAACCAGTTGCAGCAACTCATAAACGTACTTCTGATGCATAACAGGGGTTATCTGCTATCATGACTGATGGCAGCCCAAACTATTATGCCAGACTGATGAGTGGTGTGACGTTGAACAATTGTAGTCAGATTGGCTCTATCTTCCGACTCCTCCAGATTCACAACTGGTCAAAGAAAAAGAAAACTGAGACTCTGAATACCACATTGTGCCATTCAGATGTCCAAGTGGCTTAATATCATTACAGTCTTCTGCATCAGTGGTAGTCTTCACAAAAGGCAGCTTGTGTGCAAGCCGCTTTCAGCCAAACATCAGAAAAATGTTTTTCCAGATACTGGAGCATCCAAAGCTCTCTACACATTCCACAAAATGTTCCAGTAGTAAATTATGGGGTTGTTTCCACTTACTTTTCGAAATTAAAGACTCCTAAAGCAGCAGACAGTAATGATTGTTGGTTCATCTTCCATTTCCTTTCATCTCACACTACAGTAATGTGATCAACTTGCATCTTAAATCATCAGCATGACTTGTTCTTCTAGGTACTTCCCAAATATGCATATTTATATGGCCGATTCTTCATGGCGCTGCACTTTCTATGTTGGGCAGTATGTATAGTATATAACATAAATAATTACACATAAATAACTTAACATTATATTTTTTTTATTTCTTAAAAATTTACAAACATAAACAAGTTTTCAGAAACAAAATCATAGATTCTAATTGCACAAAATTTTTGTTTTAATATCAGTGATGGCTCCACTTGATGTATTGATACAATTTTTCTCATATTTGGCATAAAACTGCTTAATTCTTAAATCACTATGTTAAAAAATATTCAACCTCTTTCTTAATTTTCCATTCTTCATGTTTTTTAATTGCACTTTACTTTTTTATATTGCACTCACTGAAAAAAAAAAAAAAAAAAAAAAAAAAAAAAAAAAGGGGGGGGTATTGATTAAAAGAATATATTAAATAAGCCTATGAGTATGTACCCATTATCTTTATTTTATGATTTCTTTCTTAATATAGGTTTACATTTTTGGGGGATCCTGATCAATTGCTGACACATATTCTGTTCAATACCGATCCAGTTGGGACCCCTGCTTTTAAAGTACAGAATGCTTAAGCAAATACAATTTAATAATCCACTTAAAACCTTCATTTTACATAATTAATCATATCATGCAGTTAGCTCTTCTATTTGCAAATTATTCCCATACTATGTTTCCAGTTAAGAAATAACTTAACAATCTCTATATAATTCTGATGGCTTGTCAGTTATTACAAGAGCATAGTTTTAATAACACTAGCAAATGTCAAAACTTCTGAACTGATGAAAACATTATTTGATAATGTTCAAGACATCTTCATCAAACATGCTACTGTTAATGAAACATGCAATACTGTTATTCATCTGAAACTGACATCAATGTTTCCAAATAAACTAAGCTACATTCACTGCCTTTAAACTCCTTGAAAATGTGAAATTGTAGGAAGTCACAATGTATGCTGCAATGAATGAGAATAAAATTACTCACACCTGCCCCCCTCTCTCAAAAAAAAATTCCGTGTTTTGTGTACTAATTTGAGCTAAAGTTATACAACAAATCCAAAGACAGATCAAATATTCATATTGCAATTAAAAGTCAAAACCACAATTAAGAAATTATTAGCCAGGATACATTTGAGCAATGCCATCATTCATTTAAAATTTTAAATGAAGAGCCCTAAAAAATTTCAGCCTTATAAATAATGCATGGCAATATTATCCACATATATTAAATGACACTAAATACAGGGCACCTGTAGAGTTCTCTTTAAAGAACTTTTTCTTTGTGAGGGAGGAAAGATTTGTGGGAAGAAGTACTGAAAAAAACCGGAGGAAAAGTCTACATGAATTTTATGAAATTTGTTGTCAAATCACCTTTATTTAAATGTAATTTAAATTCAAGGGGTAAATGCAAGTTATTTACCAATTTATTAATTTTTAAAGAAAATGGATTCACTGGCAATAATATAGCACTTCATATTTTGTTTTCCAACCTTTTCATAAAAAAAAAAGAAGTTGAGTTTGAAAAACAAATGTATGAGAGATGATAACTAAAAACAAATGTAAGAGAAACTTCTATTAGTATGAAAGAAATGCTGTAAATAATAAATAAATTAAATGCCTCTGCCCTTTTTATGCAGCACTGTGAGCAACAAATCTACCTAATCTATCTCTTGTACCTCTTTATTTATTCTGCAGTCTGTTCATATAAATGTGCAGCTAATTGTCTGCCTACCTATGTGTCTAAGTAACTATGCATCTATACTACGATGAAGATCCAGCTAAAAGAATCGAGACTCAGAGGACAAAACCACAGTATTCAGAAAAAGTTGCTACATGTTGTTTCTTCGAATACTGATCCTAGATGTGCATAGGCAATCGCAAAGCTGCTTATATATATATAATTTATTTCCTAAACAGTATTCATTAATTGATTTGGTTTTAATTTGTGGAACACATTTAAAAAATAATATAAATTAAAATAAACTTATATGTATTTTTTGAGCTTCAGAAAGCAAGAAGGGGGAATGACTATTTAGCAATTGTGAAAGGTGTTCATGGGGCAAAAGAGATTGAGAACCACTGAGATGGTCAAAATATGATTAAGGCATAATCACCTGGCGTTATGGCATATGCATTCAGCTTGACTCCAAATAAAATATCAGCTTATATCTCCCTTACTTTCATAGTAGTAGTTCACTGATTTTGGATATCCAGTGACAACTTTTAATTCTTATGATCATGCAGATAAGACACTGGGAGTTTCAATTGTCTCTTGAATCATGGAGAACGGTCTAGTTAGATGGGTGTTTTTGAGGTTTACATATTAACACTTTACTGACTGCTGGCGCTTCAACAGCATATGCACGTCCAACCAGCCGCAGATTCTCCCTGTCCTTAATAACTGTCAGGACAGTCTGATAAATCATCTAAATTAAAACTCTCCAGTATCATTCTTTTCGTTCATCATGAACGGTAAATTTTTAAAAAACGGTGTGAAAATGTGGGAGTTTACCAAGCAACACACTTAATGCAAGTGAGCAATGTACTTCAATACTAATGATAAAATGCAGATGATATAGCAAATGGCAACTGTTAATCACCATGACTACCGATTGATAGTCTATTTTTAGGTAGCCCCAAGAAAAAAGCGATTAATAGGCAATCGGTCGGTAGGTGTTGGCAAAAAAAAGCAATTAATAGGCTATCGGTCGGTAGGCATTGGGGATAAAAAGCCGATTGGTAGATAAAGTGTTGTTTTCCTTAGAAAGTGTCCCATGATGGCAGATCTTCCTTTAAATAAACAACCCTCCCATGCTTTATTGCATTTGAGTAAGGAAACTTATTATCTGCATTTGAGTAAGGAAACTTATTATCAAACGTTTTCCAGAGCTCCATTTTTCAGACTATACTTTACATTCTGTTTATGTAGTATATAGCTTGAAAAATGCTTTTTACCTTCAGAGATAACTTAATTGTGTGCTACCCAGATGATGATTAACCAGGTTTATTAACCTCAACACTGTGACAGAATGCAAAACACGATCAACAGTCATGAGAAATGATATATGATTTGAAGAGCTTCCATTAATATAAACAGATTTAAAGGCCTCATTATGAAAAAATAAAAAATACTGCAATGCGTTTGAAAACAAATTTGAAAAACAATTTGGGCTAAGATATCCTAGGTATCCTCCACTGATTATTTTATCATCAAATTTAATGCTCAAATCATTTGGATGAAGTATGTTACCAGTATCTTGAAACAGATCTGATAAATTTACATGACAGTTCTGAGCATTCCACTTTTATGGGTAAAAATTCTCATCTGCATTACATAGGGAAATAAAAAAATTTCCTCACAGATGTAGGGCTGATTCAACCTACACATCATCTGCATGGTGTATAAGTACTACCTTCAAAAAGCAAAAACTTTGCAGAATTAAATTCTTATAATTAATATGAACATCTCATGGTACATACATTATACTATTCACAGGGAACTAAAAATCAAGTACATTATGGATTGCTTTCATAATTTGAATTCAAATCTCTCAGAACATGGCTATTAGCATTAACAAAGTTCATTACTCTGAAAATTTGAATTATGAAATATTTGAAATGAATTACTCCTCTAGAACTTATGCAGCGCACCTCCTCAAGAATAACTTTATTACTATCCACCCAATCACATTCTGTTTGTTTGACTGATTACTGTCTCTTTCCTGACCTTTCACAAGTTAAGTTGCTTGTGTGATAGTTACCTCATTCTTCATGAAACAATGAGATTTAACTCTTGAATCTATATTTACTGCAGACAAATTGCATTGAACAGACACATTAACTCACATACATCATGCAGTACCTGTCATTAATACAAATAATTGCTGTTGCTTTACTAAATACGGAACCAAAATGACCAGTTCTTGCTTTTATGCAGCTTGCTATTGGTGGGCAAAAATTTTTTAATTTAGCAGTAGATAGATATCAACCTAAATCAGTAAATTTCAGCATGAGAAATCCAAAGCAGTAAATTTGTTTTCAAATAACTCCATTAATTTTGCAAAAGATAAAAAACATTAACTTTTAAAATACAGCAAATATTTCAGCACCTGAAATTTTAACTCTATGAGGATCATGAGAAATGATTTTGTTTACAGAAATGAATACACAACAAGTATTTACAGAATCTTTTTACCTACATTCCTGAAACCATTTTCATAAAATTCTTTGCATAATTTTTCAAAACTCTATAATTTCAAATATATATATATACCTAGGATCAATACTTAAACGTAAAGCCCTTTTGGTCAAATACCCTGCATAAGAACTAGATTACAATACTGAGAAGAAAAAGCTAACATAGAGTCCATAAATAAAACACATACCCCATAAACACATATAAGAAAATGGCAGCAGTCATAAGAGCTCCTCTAGAAGCAGGAGAGAGCATTCCAAGCATTGCAAAAACTGTAATATATTTAAATATAAATGCACAATGGAAAACATTTCATGAATTTTAAGAAAATTTTAATGATCATGAACATCATAAAGTTATGCTGACTTACAAATTGTAATGAATGTCATTAGAAATATCTGAATTCCACTGCCAATAACTGCAGCAAACAATTTAGGATATCTAGGTGGTCTGAAAACATCGCCATGAACAAGTTTCCACCCAGTTTCTTCTATAGTATCTTCCTATTAACATCAGAATCATACACACATGAAACTTTAACAAGTATCCAAGCACATTTGTAATTCTAGATTAACTGACATAATTTAAAAACCAGAATTGAAAACATACTTTTCTATTAAATTGGAAAAGACACATGTCAATGTAAAATTTCAAAATTAGTAAATAAAGCAACCTTTGTTTGTCGCAGATTTCAGATAAAATTATCGATTTCGAGGGATATCAGACACAGGCCCTTCATCTTCAAGAGAAAAATAATTTTTGTTAATTTTTTTTGTTTCGGGGAAAAAAAAAAAAAAGCTTTTGAAAAAGAGAGACTTGGGTCTGATCATCCATGAAATTGATAGTTTTATTTCAAAGATTAACTGCAATTAATATTAACAATAAAGAAAAATAAGCTATAAGATATATACATACGCAAAAATTATCTACACAATTATTGTTAATAAACGGGACTGAGACTAAAAAGCTATAGCAAAATAATTCGCACAGCTACCAAGTAAAGATGACTCAAGCTACTGATAAAATTCCCACCTGAAAACTGCTCACAAAAATTTCAAGATGCCCATATTAGGGCTTTCATAGCACAAACCACACCTCACCCCTCAAGACTGCTTTGTTTGAATTCATTCCCCCAAAACAACATAAATAGAAAACATATACAACAGGTGTTTTCTCGTTTTCTCCTAAGACAGATGTTCTGATGGGTAATAGCATGAGATCGCTAAAGGTGCAGTGTTCCCTCTAATGAAACATCCCATTTTATTTAATGATTCTAAACATGCTTTTTGTATGAAAAATGTAAAAAAATATATAACAAATAATATAGAGTACAGCCATCAAAATTATACAGAATTTTTTTTCAAACAATTTTTTTTTTTTTTTCTTCACAAAAAAAGTATAGAAAATTACTAGAATATAAGTGGATTTTAATAACACATCGTAAATGAAAATTCTGGGTCTCCTTGTGATATGCTCCCATCTACTATTTAAAAAGAGAAGTTTGAAGTATATTATAAAGGCATTTTTATCCATTTACGGTTGAATTTAACGGTTTCAGAAGTGATTCCATTTGGGTGTTCCATGTAGTGGAACACTGAGCAACAAAGGGTTAAATGATCATTCACTGGATGTTTTGAGGTATTTAATCTGGCTGGTAAATCCTGAACTGAGTAATGTGGTTTTCCACTGATAGCACATTTTAACAGGTCCCGCTTTTACAATGGGTGGTTGTCTAAAGCAGGCTTCACCTTTGATGCTGAAATTTTTGCATTTAAACCATCTTCAAACAGTCATCAGAAATAGCACTTTGTGTAGAACAAATTTCAGAACAGTCTGACTAGCATTTTTTCCCTTTCACTTCCTTGTACAAAGTAAAAGAAGTATAGTAATCGCAGAAAATTTTGGGTGTCATATTTCAATGAAAATACCCATTTTACCGTTCTCAAATTCATTTAAACAATGTTGCTGTGTGGCATCTGTACACATGGACAGAATGAAAGTCTCTTTTTTCCTCAGAACAGGTTACAAAATGGATTTAAAATCAATTCAGAAGAGATTCTTTTTGTGACGTGTATACATACATATGTATCTCGCATAACTAAAAAACAAGTAGCAGTAGAATGTCGAAATTTTGTATATGGGACTGCTATTAACATATAGTTGCATATCTAACTTTTTTGTTGCAATCAGCAACACCATATGTATATGCAGCATCACAAATTTTTATTTTAAAACAAAATTATCCCAAGTCATTTCTGAGTAATATGTATATACTGCCACTCTGTTACCTGTCTCAGTGAGCTCAAGTTTGGTTATTCTTATATGTTATTAAATGTTATTAAATTAAGCATAACATCCATGCACTGGTTGTAGAATTATCAACAATAAAAGTTTAAGTGTAGCTGAGCCTATCAGGCTGCCATTAGTTTACAATTGAGGCTCTTAGTACAATAATGAATTAAGTCAGTTGGGGCATCACCTTCAGTGTCTTTTTTCCCGGTGTGACCAAAAGTTAACTTATGTTTTCAGACCACCTTAAAAGAATTTTGCGGATGGAAAACTTTGTCTTCTTGCCCATTGTCTGAATTGGTTGTTTTTGCACACACACTCTAATTTTAATTGTAAATTTTTTAAAACCGTTTTTGAATGTACTCCGCATTTTAGGTTTTCCCACACTTTGCAATTTTTAATGAAGATTGAGTTTTTATGTATTTTTGCCTTGCCGTGAAGTGAGAATTGAATTGATTGAATTAGAAATATATCTCTAATGAAAATCAAGGTAATAAATTTAAATGTAGTGCAGCAAAAAATGTGTATAATTAAACAGACCATGCCAGTCAAGCAGCGTCCATATCAGATATTTTAAAATAAAACAGCATAATATGACAAAAATGAACTTTTGGGCTCTCTATTAGCACTGCACTGGGGGAAAAAAAAATACTGCTACAATACAATATTATGCAATGTGAGCAGAAAAGACTGTATTTAAACACTCACTTCAGTCAAGGTCATTATCAGCAATAACAAAATTAGAAATCTTACTTTGGTTTGAAAATGCTACATAACTTTCTTGGTGATGCAATGAATCATGGAATAAAACAAACTATATCACAGCTGCCAACCTTGAAATATAAAAAACCGGGAGCTTCTGGAAGAATTTCACCATTTTGGAGACTGCATTTTAAAGAAATTCCAAACTGACATCAGTTCACTTTATAATGCAGGGTTTGGGTTACTGAACTATTTATTATTATTTCTAAGTAAAATACATTGTTATTTAGGTTTTAATGTTTCAGATTCCCTCGAGAAGTCAGTCTGGAGCATGACAATATGAATAATCCAAAATGTATTTTATAGTTTTAATATGATTCATAAATTGACTTTAAATAAAATAAAATTTTAAAATTTTTTGACAAACTTTGTAATCTTGACTTTTGTTTTCAAAATTTAATAAGTTCATTTTAATACAATTTTAGATTTTACAAGCATGGTTTAATTCACTTCTACTAAAATTATTAATTTTTTGAAGGGCGGTTTTTACCTACAGTAACCACCTTTTCTACTGAATGTCTTACTCACTCATGCGAGTGGTTTTCAAGACTGACCGTTTCTGGCCATTGACAGTGGCTAGGAGTCCAAAATTTGGTGGTCCAAGAGTGAAAAAACCAAATATTCCAATCAAGAAACATAAGCCAGTAATTGATGCAGCAATTCGTCTTCCAGAAAATAAGTATCAACCACTGAAGACAACATCACAACAATGTGCACTCTGCAACACCAAGGAAAAACCTCTAAGAACAGAGTGGGAATGCAGCACATGCAAAATTAAACTCTGCCTAAAAAAGAAGAACTGTTTCCATGAGTACCATAGAGACTGAATTGTAGGGATGTGTTCTGTGGGCAATGATCACTGACACTAACCTCCAAAAGTGGTCATTTTTTTCGTGCATCTTGGGCATAATATGTGTAATTGTCACAAATAATTTAATTGTAACACCTGATATAGTAAATAAAACAAGAGTTTTACTGAAAAAGTTAATTGCCTTTTCCTGTCCTTCAAAGAGTTAATTATAAAAAATCTTTGATTCATATTTAACTAGTTGGCTAATTTCATTTTTTAAAAGTTTCATACACTTTTATACTCACCTTAAGCACTATAGTGGTATTACTGGCTGCTGTATTGTTGGGCCCGGGTTTGAATGTGTATTAAGCTTATGCGTATGTGTGCACGATGGGAACACTTAAAATAGTTGCGAGCTGAATGTCCTTCAGAGAAACTTAATAATAGGGGAGAAAGTGTGGGAGATCCTCGGATCCAATTTCAAATAATCTCCATCCAAACTGAGAAAAAAATTCCCCTTCTCGTAAATGTAAAATCAGTTATCCCCTGTGATGAACCTTGAGCAATGCTGTCAGTGAAAACACAGCTAACTGACCAATAGGTATTTTCGATGAAATGATTAAGCTGCAAATGTCTGGCCATTTGATACATCAAAAACATACTGACAAAATCCTTAGTATGGAAAGAAATCTTTTGCATTTATATATAAGTACTTTTAAAATACAATAAAATAAATAATTTATGTATATAAATAATGTAGATAAGCTTAATAATGTACCACATATTCATGTACAACAAAATTAAAGACAATATTAACTCATTAAACACTGCTTTAACCTTCATAAAGTCTATAAATGCCTAAAGTACATTAGAACAATTAAGGTCAAGCCAAACTGAGTAACAAATGTTATTTTGAAAACCACTAGGTACAAGGGAATGGAATTTGCCCAATGCAAGTTTCATTAATTCAATAAATAGCACTCATTTCTGAGAAACATTATCTTTAGTAAAGGCTAAAAATTAAAAACCAGGAAATTCAGTGATTTACTGGAAGACTGGGAGATGTGATGAAAAAATGGGAGAGTTCGCAGCTATACTTATATTTAAATACTATAAATGGACCCATAAAATGAGTTTAATTTTGAATAAGATAAGAAAAAATAGCAATGGAAATTCCTACAGTTAACTTTTGTAACCCTCTGTATTTAGTTATACTTGGTTTCTGGAAATTTATCTCCTGAAACATAAGTTTTGAAATACTATTAAGGTATCTCAGTATCGTTATCATTATAAAAATCCTTTTTTAGCATCAAAGCAAAACAGATTATGGATATAACATTTGTTCAAAAAAGCGGATATTTTTACCATATCTTCATCTTTATTATATCTTGCTATATCTCTTCGAAGAGTTCTAATGATAATCATAGTCAAAATACCTAAATTAAAAGCAATATTCAAAATTTCTCCACACTTAAAAAAAATTAATCACATAGAGTAATACATGAATGAAATTTACATCTACACAAAAAATAAAACAATTTTTAAAATAACAAACCTGACAAGAAAAAGACCACAACCACTGAATTAATTGTAGAAAACCAATGAATCTGGACATCTGTCATAGCAAGATATATATCCCACCTTGATGCCCAACGGATGTTACTTTCTTCCCAACTCACTTCATAAGTAAACAATAGTTTAGTAGGCCCTATTAATATTAAACATGTGCATAAAGTTATTAATTAAGATAATGAGAAATTGTTATAACAAATTTACTATGAAATTCTTTCCATTACCTTGAACATTGACAGCCTGCCTTTTATGTAATTCTGGATAACTACATGTATTTCCAGAAAATTCCAAACTCAACAGATCAATGCTGAAAATTAAGAGTGAAACAGCAAAGTTATAAGCAAACAATTAGGAAAACCTTTTCTGCACAGTTTTTAAATTATCTAAGTTTATACCTTCGGGTCTCAACTTCAAATCCAACAACTCTGTAATTCTCCCTAAAGAAGAATGAAATATTTGATGCAAGACAGGAATCAATAATGAACATAATTCAAAGTGCAATAAATGCATTAAAAATAAAATATAATGAAATATTGCAATTATTATAGTTTTGTTCTCACCCAGGTTGTGTATGATACTTCAGTATAATTTTCAAATGATTATTAATGTACGGCTGCAAAAAGAAAAATTATACAGGTAAGTATCTAGGCTAATTAAGAGTACAATACCTAAATATAACAAATTCATTCAAATTTATGCAACAAAAAGGGCTAATCATAAAGCAAACCAGCCAAGTTTTTTAAATAATAATAAATATGAATGACAGCAAGCAGACAAACTTGAAGGAGGAGATTTTCGAGAAATTATTATTTAGGATGTACCTATTAAAAGGAAAATTTACTAATCACTGATTAATGTTATTGTGTCACCCAATACTGCCCAATATGTTACCTATATACAGAAAAAAAATTCTATATAATGAAGCATATTTTCCTAATCAAAATTCTTTCTCTAATCACACACTAAAGGATTGAATTACCTATAAGAAACATTCTATATGTTTGCACAATTTCATGCTAAGACATTTTTCTGAATACAGTGAATAAATGCCAAATAGTATTACATTTCTTTTAAAATATTATGGTACTGGCATATTATCTAATCCCGGCAAATGTGAAAATGTCACCAACATAGCACAATTTAGCACCAGTTATGGATAAGCATGATACATAACATCTCACATTTGCCTGACAAAACCCTGATTGATTCTTGATATGCCACGTTTTGTTTTGGTCAACAAGGATATAAATTAACTGTTATTGCTGTATTTTTTCCATGCATTTTTTTTGGGGGGGGAGGATAAAATTTGAGATCTGTTTAATATAGAATGGCAACCAGTGGATTATTTTCAAAGTTATGGGATTTTACTACAAATAAATGTGCATTAGTGGATATGATATGGTCAACAAAAAGTTAATAGACAGGAACAGTTACCTGGGGAAAATTTGTAATAATCGTGTTCTACACAGAGGTTTCTGCAAAACTGGAGGGCCTAATAAAGTAGTTAAAATTGATGAAAGCCTCTTATGCAGTGAGAAAATGGAGCCAGTCAAATACTGATTGTTTATCAAACAAAGAGGAAGAAATGTCAAGTAAGGAAATGCAAAGGTAACATAACTTCTAATATTTGCGACAACTGTAATAAATATCTATGCGGATATTGTACATAAAAAAATCAGAAAGATCAGCACGTGTGTTAATTGCTGCGCTGACTAATATATTATCTGCGAATAAAATATTTCTCTATATTTCTATTTCTATGTACTTTTTATAGCAAACAGTTTGTTTTAAAGTACTTTTTATTTAAAGCAATTTTTTTTTTTTTTTTAAAGTAATATTTGGATTAAAAACCACTTTTTTTTGCAAAAACTTTCATAAATGTTTATACATTTTATTTTCTGTGTTTCTGAAATGTAAGCTATTGAAAAAAAATTACATTTTCCGATGGAAATATTTAAATGCTTGTTCATTATTTGACTACATACCTGCAAAGTCTCTATATTCTTTAAAATAAACTGTAGTTGTCATAATTTGCATTATTTTTATTTCTTTTTCACAAATATATTATATCATATAGAGAAATATGCAGATATCTTATCAAGGGGTCAAAATGACACCCGCTGTAATTCTAGGTATGCGAAGACCACCGTAATTCTAGTGTTAACAATATAGAACATACATCTTGATCATTACATTTTTTGATGCATTGGCATGCCTTCTCTTCAATCTGGTACTAGAAAAAGTAATAGCAGATTCAAATATCAATACTAAAGGAAACACATTTAATAAACTGGTAGAATTATTGGCTTTTGCTGATGACACTGACATTATTGCTAGGAATGCTGTGACTGCATATACAGATTCTAGGAAAGAAGAGGAAAGGATTCATAAGATGAAAAAGAGGAATTTCTTCAAAGATCTTTTTTTAAATGTTGAATATTTGATCAGCATTAAAACAGGCTTATATATCTCAAGAGAAGAAGGCTTTCAGGATGGGCCTGAGGATTAATAAAAATAAAACAAAATATACGCCATGCACTAAAACAGACTTAAGACAATTCATTTGGAAATTGGAGAATATAAATTTGAAACTGTTGACAGCTTTACATATTCAAGCTCTGAAATTAACAGCAGGAACAAATTACTACAGAAATACAAAAGAGAATCACTTGAGCCAATAGTTACTTCAAATGAATGTGAAAATATATGGAAACAAGTGTAATTCAAAGAAAAACAAAGGTTTTACTGTGTAAGAAAGAGCCTTATAAGTCCAATTCTGACATATGCATTTGAAACTTCTTCCGTGATGCACACAAATGAAGACATGCTGGGCATTTTTGAAAGGAAGGTTTTAAGAAATATTTTTGGAGGATTATAAAAAGGTAGTGTGTGGCTTAGAAGATCAAATTTGCAACTATATTGCTCATATAATGAACCTGACATTATTAAATGCCAAAGAATAAAATGGGAAGACCACGTTATCAAAATGGATGAAGACTGTGCCAACAAAAAAGTCTTCACCACCAGACAATAAACACACATAGGCACATAGAAAAAAGGCAGACCAAATCTAAGATTGTTAAACTGCCAATAAAATAGCCTATTGGTCTTAAAAACCCAAAACTGGAAAACACTAGCAGGGAGAAGAATGACCTGGAAAGAACTTCTTGAGAAGGCCAGAGCCTACCCTGGGCCATTGAGGAAGGAAGGCCCTAGAATTATTTAAAGACAAACATTTCTATGTATGATACAACATATTTTCTTTAACTGAATGCCGTATTACTGCACCAGTGATTACAGAATGCTCAACAGATGCTTGAAAAGGCCTCCACTTCTTGTATAAGGTAACTGGCTCTTTGAGAACTGCATTAGAACATTCTATAGCTAAAAAAAATTCATTCGTTCATAAAAAGTTCACTTTTTTTAAAGAACACCATTTTAAAAAATGAATTAATAAGTTTTAAATATTTTTGAATAACATTTGTTTTTTGATGCTTTCGCATCATCTGCCCAGTGCTCCCACAAAGTTTGTTGCCAAACATTGGCAGCTAATTTTTCGCTTGCCTAGCATGTGAAAAAAGGTAGCCATTACAAAAAAATGGTTCTGTGCTTAAAATTACATAGAATAGTAATGAATTAATGAAATTAAAAATTCAACAAGCATCCATAATGAAATAGCAAAAATTACATAAAACAAACATCCATAACAAAACACTCAAAATTTCATAAAATAGTAAAAACTTAATTAAAAATGCACCAAGCATCTACAATAAAACATTTCACTTTCTCTTTTCTTAATCTGTATACACAGTGACCTGTTTGATCCCCCCCCCTGAAAAAAAAAAAAAAAGAGAGAGAATTGCTTTTATTCAGAAAAACCAGTTTTTTTTAAAAAACGTTTTCCCTTATACTAAACATGCAGACTTCACGCAGATAAATGCATCGATCAGTAGTATTCGGAGACACATCAAGACAATTAAAAACCATAAGAATGACAAAATTTACTAGATGTATATTCTTTAGAAAAGCAATAACTAAAGTGAATAGCTGTCATAAATGATATTCAGCTATTCTCAAACCATATTCCTACTCCCATTCAAACACTTTGCTGGTGATCTTTAACAGTACATTTTCATATAATTGTTTGCTTCATGGGAATTCCAAAACACCACCCATTATGTGCTGGTACAATGAACAATGAGCATACAACTATTAGTGAGTTGCTAAATAAACTACATGTTCCTTAAAGTTTGGGTTGCTTACTTTGGTGACTTTAGTCTGGGTTGCCTACTTCAGTGCTTTGCTTGGTGGTTATTCTCACCATTGGGCAGACAACATGAAAGTACCTTTTTTTTTTTTTTTTTTTTTTTGTATGTATAATTTTTTTTTCAAAATAACAAAACAAAATTGCAAAAATGTTAATTAAATTTAAGTGTAAAATGTATAGCATACTTATTTGGCAATAGCACATTTGTTGTCTCACTGGGAAAAATCTTATTTAATTCACACTCAAACTGGAAGTGAGAAAGGTTTTGGTTCTTTTAATAGATAAACATTTGTTAGAATGAAAGTCAAAACTTTGTAAAATATTTGAAATAATCTGACTGAATTCTGAAGCACTGGTATTTTTGTATTTTTAAACACTTATTAAATAACAGATGATGTTAGAGGGCTTTTTCCCTATCTTAGAGACTGAACAGAACAAATTCTTAGATACTGAACAATGTTTCGTTATGGATGCAAAAAGAAATAAAATTGGTATGGCCTTGAAGAATACAGAATTTCAGATGAGAACCAGCACTCTTATTTTAATTCTGTAGATGAACTCTGCATTGGAGTTTCTACACACTTGTTACATACATCCTGTCAGACTTACTGAAATAAATTACCTGTAGGATGCTTAATATTAAAGCAAACTAAAGCAGCTCCAACACAAAGTATGTACTGTAAAATGACTTAAGCAAACAGTAATACAATTTATATACAGCATCTATAACTATAAACATTCGAATTCAGTGATTGCATAATTATCCTAATTTATTAGATTTTCTTGTTTCCAAATTGCACCACAGATTCTTTAGAGGCATCTGTAAATTCATGATGGGGAATATGGATTAAATAATTTCAAAAGTGGCTTGAAGAATTAAAGCCTTCTGTAAATTTTGAAAAGCTTTTGCCCAAATCTATGGAGCATCTTTTTTAAGTAAATTTGTGAAAGGGGATCTAATTTTTGGATAATTTTGAATAAATTATTGATATACTTTAATGTCTTTAACAATTTACATATTCATTGAAAAGTACCCAAATCCAAATACACAGAATTTTAAATAGCACTTCTTGACATGGGGATGCAAATAATTATAGCAGCAGTCATGGTGTGATTTATTTCTTTATTTTCATTGATAAACTAATAAACAGCTGCAGGAAGTATGCCTGTTCCTGAAGAATTTTACATTTTTTAAGATGTGGTGGTGAAAGGACCACCAACTCCAATCTAGCTACCTTATGTAAGCAAGATAAAGAGAACACAATATGTGCAACATGAAAGCCCCATTCAGAGTCATTTAATTTTGGTTTAGCTGTATTCTGATTGCTGAAGTTTAACTTGTTATTTAACTAATGTTATTGGCATGTCTTATGCAAGTACCTTCATCTTAAGTTTAGCCAGGAAAAAAGACGCAGTTTAAAGTGATTTATTATAAACAGTTACTATTTTGTGACAGAAAGGCACAATCCCTAAATTAAAATAAAGAGTAGTGGGACTACTGCAAATTAAAGTCAAAATTTTGCTTTTACATGTTTTTTATCTTACATAAATACATATATAATTTTATGAATGTAACTGGATGACCAATGCTGGCTATCAACTGACAGCTTATGACATCATAATCTAGTAGGAAAAGCTTCTTGTAGGAACTTTCGCATAGCTACATATTTAAAATGCATATTTTGTAATAAATCACCAAAGCAACTTCATTTTCAGCATTTTTACAAAACTGCAAGTGCATAGAAAGATTTATTTTGTACATAAAAAAAAAAAAAAAAAAAAAATTATGTTTCAGGAAAATAGTGTAAAATAGAAAGGCTTTACAAAAATTAATATATTTCTCTGATGTACAACAGATGGGAAAGATGATCAAAAAGTTATTGGTTGAAAACTAACAGATGATAAGTGCAAGCATCGAAAAACCTAGTACTCATAGATAGATTTCTTGTAAAATATGTAAGTTATGCTTCAGAGTAATTTTTTGTATCATACATAACACCTAAACTCCAAATTAAAATTCTTATGTCTGATTTAACTTTTTCTTGCAAGATTTCCTATAGAACTTGAAGTGCGGAATTCATAAGATAACTAAATAGTGGAAATGTTCATCCAATATTTTCGTATGAGCAAAGATTAGGGTTCAACCATCATGTCCTACCTGACCAACATGTCCCAATGAACTTTCTCTTTCTCCTAGTCTGGTAAATGATAGCTTGAGTTATTTTTACCAAAGGGTATTTTGAATTTCTTTATCAACATCTTGAACATGAAGCAGTTACCTATTCTGAAATGCCTATCCTTACACTGTTATTTGCTTATGTGAATTTATGCTTGTCAGTTCAAATTTTCATTTCACATACTAACTTGATATTACTAATCAAAGATCGTCAAATTAGCAGATATGGTTTACAAGCTGCATGACAGAGTTTAGTGATAAAATTATAAGGATATGAAATACTATAAGCAAGTCACCACTGCATATACTTACAATCTCACATTTTTAATATATGTATCTTTTCTGTACTGTAGCAGTCATGCACTGAATTCTGTTGTAAAAGATTAAAGATACTTAAGGTATTTTGTTCAGAGAAAGTGATAATTTGTTTTACGTCTGTTGGGGGGTTATTGGACTAATTCCAATTTCAGATCACGTAAAACCCCACATTGTAAACACAACACATTGGCATATTTCAACCTGCAGTTAAATAGCAATGGCCTTTAGTATTTGGACACAACAAGTTGAAATACTTTCGATATGGAGGGTGAGGAAGTTGATCCTATGACCATACAGCAGTGATGTTAACTAAATTTGGAAACAGCTGCAACAAAACATTTAAAATATTATAGTATGCATGTTATGATCAAACATTTAACTCTACTTTTGATATTTTCGTGACAGAGGCACTTTAAAGTAGTAATACTCAAGTGATCATCAAATACATTCCAACATGTTATAGATATCAACATTTTACACACATGGCAAACAAGGAACAGCGATTATTAGATAAACATGAGGAAGACCATCTGTTCAAGAAACAGAACAATAACCTGGTTGCATTTTGCTTCTGTGGCACTAACAGCATAATCAGAAATAGATCTGTAAATGCTATAATATCGTGCATTATAATACAGATTTAATTATATGATTTCTGAGCATTCTTAGCACTGAAAAGGCAGTACTGCAGGAAAAGTTTCCCTTTAGATGAGGAAGAGGAAAATGCAATGACCACAGTGCTACAGAGGTTGTTACAAAAAGTCCATATTTTTTAATTATTTAGAAACTGCAAAGAAAAGTTTAATTCAACACGAAAATCTTTTTTTTTTTAATTAAATTTTTAAATACTGATTCTCAGTAAGTGGATCAAGTATTAAAACTTTTCTCAGCCAATGTAAATATGCAACACACCTAAAAGTAAAGTATGCCATACAAAATTTAGTACAGAGTACTTGTTACTTACATCATCACTTTATGATCAGCCCTCATATATTTAACAAATCATCAAACTTCATTTAAATGAAAAATGACATTTTACAAGAAAAATTAGAAGGACATACAATTCCCTTTTCCACAAAGCCTAATCTATATCCATGCTCATACTGTGGTTGATTCTCAGACATTTCAAATCTTGTAGCACAGGGCAGATTATCAATCAATCTAGAAAAATACAAATTACATAATTATTTGAGTATTTTAAGCATTTTACTTTTTTTAATGAAAAAAGAAAAATCTACTTTTTATAGTCATTGATTTTGGCATTTGTTTAAGTCAGAGGTCATCATATTCTAGACTGACAGACCTCCACCAAAGAATTTTTGCTTCCAAAAACCTGATTTTTTTAAAGTTTATCTTTAACTATTTATTGACTATTTGCTTTAAATTTCTCCATATTAGATGTTTCAATGAATTTTATACGTGTTTCGCACTTTGCTACTTAACTTAAGGCTACAATCAAAGTAGAAATTTACCACAATAACCAATGACGTTCCTGTTATTTTTGACATCTCATTTGACGAAGAGCTCACAGAGAGAAAATGAAGTGATTCAGACACCAGAAAAATGATACAGTGTTAGTGTAACTATTGACCTGTTATAATACAGGCACAATGTGCACACACAGCAATCACAACTTACTCAGTGTTGAACAGAAATGGTGGTATCAAAGCAGTTTGTCTGCAGTTGCTTGTTGCATGATTTTAAACTTATTAACAGCCAAAACTACAAACAAGGAATGATTTATTTCCTTATACAAATAATGATAAGTACTAAATTAAGTATTTATAAAGCATAAATTTACACTGAAAATTAAAAAATTACACGTGCAAAAATCAACTGTTGCACTCGCTCAATGTCAGCGGAATAATAATACGGATGTTTAGTGAGTATGACTGTACTCATAAGAAGTTTACTTTGATTGGAGCATTGTATTACTTTTTAGCTGTATAACATTTTAAAAAATCTACAAATAACTTTATTTGTAATTAATTTAATATTAAAACTTGTATTTATTTTTCATACTTTGCATCTATAAACAGTCTGGCTATGGCATTCTTTACAATAAAGTTTTCTGTTACCCTCTGAATTTACAATAAAATGCCTACCATCTCCACGCAATAGCGTTTGAATGCTCAATTTACTAGGTCTTCCTGTTGCTGATCTATTTCTGGCTAATCCTACACTCTCAATAGGAGTTTGCAAAAGGAATAATGCAATCTCGCATTTGAAATCTAAAAAGAAACTTTTTATTTCCAGCAATAGAAAGTCGTGACATTTTTCATACATCTGTCAATAATACATCAATGTAATTAGTAAATATTGGCCACCACTATTTTTTGCCAAGAACTCTTATTCTGTTATTGGTTACTAAATTGTCGTATAAATTGTCTTCTACCATTTGACATTGTATTATTGTTCAATAAGATGAGGCTGAGATACAAAACTTTTGAGTTCTTGAATAACGGGAAACACATTTTACGGGCTGAATTTTTACAAATGTTGAAACAACAGTTACAACCAAATCATTGTTCCATCAGGCAATCATTTTGTTTTTCTCTTTATAATGGAAAACATGTCTTTCTTACGGATACATTTCCCTGTTTCTAATGGGCACATTTGTACACAGTTTTCTTGAACTGTTCCTGCAGTACTAAAACTTTTATTTTTTAGATGATAGAGAAGACGAAATCATAACTGACAGTTCTATTTTTATCCATTTCAAATTTTCAGTTTTTTAAACTTCTTCATATGACTAGCACTGTTTTTAGAAGGCTAAAACTTACTTCTTACATGAACTTCAACATCCCCAGCAGCATCATTTGGCAAAATATCATCATTATGCAAAACATAATCATTTCTTTCTTCTACATCAGTTTCATTCTGGTCATTAACATCATCTGTTTCTTCGACAAAATGTCTTTAAAGGGCTTTTTCTAATGTAAGGTACATCGTTCTAGGCATTTTAAAGCATCGAATGACTATCAACCACAGCATCTAAAGGCATGAGTAAAAAAAGGGGAATTACCTTTTCCTGCTAACACTGCACCGGCATAATGCCTATTTTCCCTTCCATCCCCACACAAATACAAACAGCTGATTGATGAAATTTTCTGATAAGCGGTGACCTTGGCTAAAAATAGATCACCTTCAAAGACGGTGATTCTTTTGTTACATTTTTTTGCCAAAAATACCCGGTCGAAAATTTTGCTTCAGTATGAGACTAATTATTATAAACAAAATTATTGCTGAAGACAAATACTTTTTACAGAAATAATCTTCATAATAATCTGCTAGTATCTTTGGTAGTTACACATTTATATGCATATATTTTGACTGATGTGTCAATGTAATACCAGCGGCTAATAGGTAAAGATGGGCCTGTCAGTAGCTGCATCAAGTTGTCAAATATGTCAAACATTTGGGAATTCCGTCATGAACGAACACATCAGCAGGCACTGGCTCCAGTTCAAGTTAGCCTTTGTGATGAACCCTACAGTAGGCAATTACATGTGCTGAATATATGAGGCTCTGAAAGCAGCCATAAAACAGAACAGTGGTGAATTTCCCAAATATTTCAAAGTTGAGTTACCATCAGACTTCTGTTAATTTAAAATCCATGGTTTTCCCCCTCCTTATCAGTTTAGATCAACAGGTCTATCACAAATTACAGAAAGATTTGTACAACTCAAACATCATAATGAAGCCTAATACAGTTCCCACTGCTTATTAAACTTACTGCTTAATAAGCTCAGACACTTATTATGTTTAAACTTCCAGGAACCAAAACAAATACAAACTAATCAATAGGGGGAAGGAAAAAACCACTGTTAATTTAACTCACCTCTGCCACTTATAAAACTCAGTTTGTCAAAAGACTTATTCTTCAGAGCTAGAATATTCTACATGTACACTGTGCAAAATAATAATAATAATAATAATAATAAAGGGAGGGGGAACATTTCTATATCTCCAGTTCTACTGGGCCAACTGATGAAATTCAACTTGCGTTTTTCATGCCTCGAAAGCGAGACATAAGATATGTATTAGATTTATATATAGCATTGTTCTAATATAGGTATTTTGACAAAAAATTAGAAATTTCTGAAATAACATACATTTTTTACAATATTTCCATTGAAGCTCAAATTACGCGAAATACTAAGTTTGTAAAACTCGCATGAGTATTTTTTAATAAAATTAGCTCTCAATTATCCTTTGAGAACTATCTATTAATCGCTTTTTTTAATTAAACTTTTTGATTCTTCTTTAACATTCAAAATTCAGGTCATTCCAAATAAGTCACCATTTTTATGATTATTTCAAATATTTTTATAATTTTCAAAAAAATTTTAATTGTATCTATAAAATTTTGACTATATCTTAAAGAGCATATTAGCATCCTGCAAAAAATAGTTTTTATTCAAATTCCGAAGATATACGGAATTTATACGGGCATTTTGAAATTGCCCAGATTTGTTGTGAAAGCACTTTGTTAAAATTTTGAAAGCAGAAACAAGACTTCCCCCACTATCAAATGTAAAAGGTAGGAACGAGTGCATTTTTCGCTCCAATAAGGAAGAGAAAGGAAAATTGGTTTCATATACAGTAAAAGTCCAATCGGACTCATTGGGACTTTGGCGATTCCGGATTTTTCGGATATTGGATCATCCGTTTAAATCTGTAAGTGCATGTAAAATTTAAAACTAAAAATAGAATTTGGATTTAGGAAATAATGAAGTATTTAGATCTAAACGGTATCAAAATACAAAAAAAAAAAAAAAAAAAAAAAAAACGCTTATTATTGTAACCTATAGATTTCTTTCAATGTAAGTGTTAAGTGATTCGTTTTTGTGCTAATACTTTCTCTTTAATTCTGTCGCAGACATAATCTCTGTTATTAATTTTGAAGTCTGTAACGCCGTTTTGAGATTCCGACTAACTTGTCAATCGAATTTTCTGTTTTCAGTAACTTATGTCACTTTATCACTATCGGTAGCCGAATTCTGGATCTAGAACATAGACAGATTCCCATTCATTAATGTTGATGATTGAGAAGCATTGTATCCAATGAAAAACTTCTTATATAGCTCATTTTACCACTTTTTCACATTCTTACAAACCGTTAATTTGAAATTTCATCTTTGTTTGGATATCGAAAAATTTAAATTAGCAGCTATATCGGAAATTAGTTAGCCTTCACGATCATATTTGGCTATGCCTCATGAGCCCTAAATTCAATCTTGGGTTATGAGATCATTAACAAATCCATTTTAGCATATAGAAGAAATTTTTGGCATACTTTCCCTCAACATTTTGTAGCGCATTAACTTAAAATGTATCATACCAAGGTAAGTAACTAAAAGGTACCATACTCTATTATTACTGATTTTATTATTATTATTACTGTTATTACTAACATAAAAAAATGTTAGGCTCGGACATGAGGCATTACTCAGTTGTCATTTTTGATAAACATGCCGTGTGAAGGAAAGGATAATAATAATGATTCCTCAGTTGGGTCAGTCACGATTATTATGTGGAATATTCGGTTGAGATGCGTCCAAAGCAGCACGCCGCATGGAGCCAAAATACTTATGGTACAATTTACCAGGACTTAGAGGAAGGGGCTAGCTCATAGAGTTTTCCCCTGGAAGCAGAAAGTGAGAAGTGATGACGTTCGTCATGATGACATGAGCGCACAATGCAATTCAAGCTTGGAATTAGCATTTTGAACAGCATTAAATGAGCTGGTGTGAAAGAAGCTAGAATTTGGAAGAGACAAGTTACTCTTTATGCATTTAGACGAACCATAAAAAATTTAATAATAATTTAATAAATAAATGTTATCTTTAACATAAAGTTCGTGTTTTCTTTTTTTTTTTTTTATTGAGGTTTTTTATTACTGCACGTTTATTTCTAATTCATTTCTTTCTCATGTTAACTGAGAGAATTTTTATACGGTTCTAAGATAACTTAATAGCAGCTATTAATTGTAATTATACTTATCTATATTACAATTAATAAATGTATGCAAGATTGTTACCTTAATTTTGACAAAATAGTTTACTCAGAGACCTAGTACATTATTTAATTTTTCAAAAGCGTGAGTAAAGAAGCAGTTCTTTTATGCCATTACTTTGATGTTTACAATATTATTTTTC